GTTATCGAGCTTATTACGATCCCTATAGAAGAAGTCCGGCTTAGCGGAATACTTTATCCTATCTTTATTAGTAGAGGCACTAGCTCGAGCGGTCGAAGCTATACTAACGTCTCTTTCGTTATTAGGAGCTATTTATTTGCTTAGGGTACTTACCTACTATAAGGGTATTTAAAATATTATATACCTACGGTATAAGGAAGTTAGAGCTCGTTAGATAAGTAAGTTCTAAGCGATAGGTCGGGTAAGTAACTACTCTAAGGTTTAACCTTTCTATAGGTTAGTAACTTAGGTTAAATACGAACTACCTATATAAGAAAGCGCCCTCCTATATATATAGGAAACTCGTATACTTAACTATCTATCCGTCTAGCCGACTAGTCGGTTAGTATATTAGTAAGTTACGTATCCGACCGAAGTCTATCGTCTCTAGTTAGTTATATGTTCTTAAAGCGCGTACTTCCGCGTACTTCCTTTTTAAGGCTAACATAACTAGTCCTCGTTCTGTTATTCCTATATTATATATTATATGTTCGTAATATATACTAGGATACGAAGGCCCTCTACGTAACTTATTAGATATTCTAGATAGCGACTTACTAGTCGTTGCTAAGTCTATAGATTCTCTTAACCTACTTAGTAAACTCCGAGAAGTTAGTAAAGATCCCGTTAGGGTCTCTATTCTCGAGTAGGACTATAGTTAACTTAGGACGTATCTAGTTCTAAGCTTCGCCTCGAAGGTAGGATACTACGATATAGTAGCGTTATTATTTACTAGTAATACCTTCGAGGGAGAAATATAGTATAATCTAGTTTAACTAGTCGTCGAGCTTATTACGATCTCTATAAAAGAAGTCTAGTTTAGCGGAGTATTTAGCCGTTCCGGTCCTATCCTTATTAGTAGAGGTACTAGCTCGAGTAGTCGAAGCTATACTAATATCTCTTTCGTTAGTAGGAGCTATTTATTTACTTAGGGTACTTACCTACTATAAGGGTATTTAAAATATTATATACCTATAGTATAAGGGGGTTAGAGCTCGTTAGACGAGTAAGTTCTAAGCGATAGGTCGGGTAAGTAACTACTCTAAGGTTTAACCTTTCGGCGGGTTAGTAACTTAGGTTAAATACGAACTACCTATATAAGAAACGTCTATTCTATATATATAGAAGATTCGTATAATAATCGCGATTACCCGTAGTAGTCGTAACTAGATCGTAGTTACGGTAGGTATTTACGATCCTAATTACTTAATTACCTAGTAACGAAGCGATTCTTTATACGATCGTAGATTCCTATTAAGTCGGGGATAAAGCGTATAGCCGCTATTCCCGCCTTTATAGGATATAAGCCGCTAGCGGCAAAACTACGCCTAATCCTATATACGTATTTATAATAAGTATACTTTATATTCTATGTCTCCCTCCTTAAACTAGCGTACCTAGATACTATACTTTAAACGATATTCTACTACGAATCCTAAGAAAGCTAGAAGTAGAAAGTAGAAAAAATCCTAAAGAAGAGAGGTTAGAAATACTTAGTTAAATAGAAAGGATACCTTAGTAAAGATAATACCTAGAAACTAAAGGCTTACCTTAAGAATTACTAGAACCTTTTATAATAATTTTAGGACTAGAGAAGTTAATTACGCTATTAACTAAGTCGAGGGACGACTATACGGCTAGAGATAGACCTACTATAGTATCCGCCGTAGGATAGTCCTCGCTCTCTAGCTCGCTAGTTGCCTCTATCTCCGACTCTAGGTACGTAGCCTTTAGCCTTACGCGCTTATCTACCTACTTTAGGATTTTTTTTTATTCTATATAAGACGACCTAAAACTACGGATAAGTCTTCCTTATCCTTTTCTACCTTCTTCTTATACTTCTCGCGAGTACGATCTAGCGACTCCTAGGATATATTTATATACTTACGCTCTAGGCGGACGTACTAAGAATATTTTAAACGAGAATTCGACTCTATTATAATATAGTAGTATCTAGAAAATAGGTAACGCTCGTAAGGAATAGCGGCGGATTCTCTATACTACTATATCTTCTAAGTAAGGCGAAGTCGGTTTTTTATAACTAAAGAACTTATTATTATATAACGAAATAAGAGAATCGCGGGAGCTCTACGATTACTTATAGATTAGGGACTAATATACGCTAGACCTAATAAAGTATAGGATTACTTTACGCCTTAGTAACTATAGGGTAGCGGCTATCCTATAGCCTAACCCGACCTATAGTAATACTAACTATATAGTTAGACGGACTATAGGGCTACGAGTTCTATATAGTAATAACTACCTTATACTCCCCTAGACCGTAGGGGTAATAATACTATAAGGATATAACGACTATAAGGGAGGATAGTATTATAAATACGTATATAGGATCGGGCGTAGTTTTGCCGATAGCGGCCTATATTCTATAAAGGCGGGAATAGCGGCTATACGCATTATCCCCGACTTAGTAGGAATCTACAATCGTATAAGGGATTACTTCGTTACTAGGTAACTAAGTAATTAGGGTCGTAAATACCCCTAATAACTACGACCTAGTTACGACTACTACGGGTAATCGCGATTATTATATAAATCTCCTATATATATAGAATAGGCGTTTCTTATATAGGTAGTTCGTATTTAACCTAAGTTACTAACCCGCCGAAAGGTTAAACCTTAGAGTAGTTACTTACCCGACCTATCGCTTAGAACTTACTCGTCTAACGAGCTCTAACCCCCTTATACCGTAGGTATATAATAGTAGACTTCTATTACTTAAGGTTCTAAGGACGGAACTAGTATAGAAGAGGATAGTATTATAGATACTATTATAGTAATTAGTAGAGTAAGCGAGTAGATAGGGAGATAGGAGTAGAAGCTTCCGCTCCTATAACTAATATAACTAATACTTCTTCGATTAGTTAGATTAGACGCTACTAACTAAACTAACTACGCTACGATTAGTCGGATTAGTTAAGATACGAATCTTCTATATATATAGAGTAGACGTTTCTTATATAGGTAGTTTATATTTAACCTAAGTTACTAACCTACTAAAAGGTTAAACTTTAGAGTAGTTACTTACTAGACCTATCGCTTAGAACTTACTCGTCTAACGAGCTCTAACCCCCTTATACCGTAGGTATATAATAACTTACTTACCTAACCTATTACTTAGAACTTACTTATCTAACGAGCTCTAACCCTCTTATACTATAGGTATATAATAACTAGCCTTAGGCATTAGGTCCTAACTTATTACTAATAGTTAGATTTTATATCTATAATAGTACTAGTATTATATAAAGAACTAGCTAAAGTTATTAGACAATATACTAAAGCTAATAAGGTAATATTAACTAAACTCTAGCTAGAGAATATAAGTAATCTACTTATAACTAATTCTATAGATTATAAACCCGATATTAGTAACGTTATTAGATAGTTTGTTGGAAATATATATATAACAAGTAGCGATACTATAGGTATAGCCTAATAGGTATATCGTCCGTACGTATCCCGATCTAAGCAACGCCCGCCTCTTATCGCAGAGGCTCTAGATAGACTTAGGTCCAATCTCGAATGTATTTAGCCCGTACACCCCAAAAACCTTCATAAATCCCAGGACCTGCGGTGCAATCTCACACCCCATCGGGTCAGGCACTGAAGCATTAAATTCCACAAGCGGAATTTTCACCGCTACAGGTTTGTCACCACCATACCCCGTCGGAGATGCAGACAGCACATACGTCACGTTGGCCCGCAAGTGACGGCCGATGATCTGCAGCATGTCCAATCCTGGGAGAGCGCGGATAGTGATCAGTGCAGAACCATTCGTCGCTGTTGTCCGCGAAGTATTTGACACTACGGGTATTAGTACATTTTCCACGCGCCCACTGAGGCCTTGATGGCCAAGATTCGCAGTGTAGGTGCTAACGTTCGTGGAAGCGGGAACTGCGCCTGCGACGTATACGAGTGCTTGGCCTTCCTGGCCAACGTGTAACGTATCTATGACTGAAAGGGTGGATGTGTCGATGACGTCAACGGAGTCGCTGTGTTCATTTACGACGTACATTCGAGTGTTGTCAGGGCTGGGCCAGATACCGTGGGGTTCTACTCCGGAGGCTTCGATTGCCGTTATGAAAACGGGACTCGAGGCGGGTGTATCCTGTCTGTAGACCTTAGTGGCGTTGACGGCTGCGACAGTAACAAAGCCGTAAGTTGTGCCGTTGATGATCGCGAAGTTGGGATGGTTAGTTTCGGGACCGGTAGCCAGTGCAGTAACGACGGTGCGCGTGGTGAGGTCGATGATGGAGACCTTTCCGATCATCTTGTGCGCGACCCATAAGCGAGTGCCATCGGCGGAGAGCATCATGTCGGAGGAGAACACGTCGGCGAGGCCGTGGATGATGTGTGTGACTTTTCGGTTTGCGACGTCAATAATATCGACAGACGGGGAGAGGATGTGGTTCGCATATGCAGTTTTGCCGTCAGGACTGAAGAGAACTTTGCTAGGTCCCGGTGCCGTTTGGATGCGACCGATGATGCCCCCTTCTAGCCCATCGATGATGTTGATGAAGGAGGTGCCCCGACAGGCGACCCACACTGTGCGATTATCTGCGGTGAAGAAGGCCTCGTGCGGTGCGCGGTCCGAGAATGTCTGGGAAACGATGCTGTTGTCCAAAGTCCTGATAACATTGACGGTGTTGCTCGTGACACTGAGTGACACGATGTGTTTGCCATCCCGAGAGAAGCCGAGTCCATGACTGTTGATCGATTTCAAGTATTGTGGGCCAACAAGGTTGGTCAAGCGTGGATCGCCAAGGCTGATGGTCCCGAGGACCTCGTTAGTGCTCGGTTTGATGACGGTAACGGTGTTGGACGACTGGTCACCTGTATAGATCCGGTCTTCAGACGAGATCGGTGGAGCTCCTGGCAATGCCGGGGCCTGGACCAGAGCCAGGGTATTTCTTGCCGCGGCCGCAACTAATAGAATACACGAGAGAAACATTGTACAGTCCGCAGAAGACGCGGGGCATGCACAGGTGCGAGAAGCAGCTAGGACGTCGTCTTATATGATTTCTTCCCTCTCCCAATCATCGGTTGGGTTGCAGAGTGGGGACATGCGTCATGTAAGAGCGATCCGCCGGCTCTTGAAGCGCGGACTTACAATTGTCATCGATGGGCTTGCAGCGCTAAAAGGATGACGAGTATCATTCCCGCATACGGACCTGGGTGGTAAACTGATGCAGCAGGGTGGGGCAGGCTGTGCAAGTCTGACAATCTGGACAGCGCAAGTTTGGCAACCGACTTGGGCCATCAAAGTCTAGAGGATGGAGATCCCGTGCAGTACTTGCTTGTGCCGCAGCTCGATGACGTGTTGAAAGATTTTAGGAAGGATTCAACGATGGGGGCTAATCTGGGGAAAACAGATGGAAGTTGTCGACTCAAACCATTCCGATAACGGCGGAGGAGGTTATGGGAGGTTTGCAGGGCGCTTTAGAGCTGGGCCACGCGATCTTCATTGTCTGAGGATTGTCTCGCTGCGGATCGCCGAGCAGATCTACCTCCCCATTGACGAGTATGTCCGTGTCCTTTGCAACGATTGCACACTGGTCGATGGCCGTTGCACTATCGATGTGTCAGATTTTGCCTCTGATGGAATCGCTGCTCAGGACATGATGTACCCTCGACTTCAGTGCTCTGCAACTGTCGCACGCTTGCACTACCCGGCGGCGTACTGGAATCGGCTCATCAGCCATCTTGTGGATCATGCCAGAGAAGGAGAGGGAACAAGCGGGACAGCTGAACAGGTAGGTACCGTAACTTGCAAGATGCGGAGGCACCGGACTTCGTTTGGCAGGGTACTACAGTACAGTACTGGTACGTGATCGGCTCGAGTGATTGTTCACGCCGCCACAGCCGTGCCGCCAGTCCCGCGACACCTTTCTGCATACACTTACTCGACGTCGATGCAAGTTGACACATGGGATCTAATTCTAATGCTGGCGCGAGCAACGACGATCAATGGAGAACTACCCAGGTGTCCAAGTGTTAAATGGACCGAGGAGAAGTTGGTGTGCAGATGTCCGATATCTATCCTGATCCCCGGTGCTGCAAAAGGCACGTCACCCTAATCTGAACTTCATGGCGCTCACGATTAAACTTGAAAACAAACCTGGGCGCAATTGGTTCACTTCAACGGAGTCTATCGCTGGCGCGGTGCTGCTTCACATTCGCAATTGTGTTACAGTCACCAACGTCGTCATATCGTTGCAATGTCTACTTCCACGATCAAGATCATGTGGTATCGGCGCTGACATTGAAGGACAGGCAAACAAACGCTGTCGATGAGGAGGGGAGATCCGAGGGAAAGGGGAGCATACTGGAGCGAGAAGCGCATCGTAGGTGTTGCAGCTCCATCTCGCCAGCGTCGCTGAACCGTACAGGATCAGCTTCTCTCACGTGATGCTACACTTCTTCCGTTGACAATGTGTTCCAATCAGAAATCGATCCATGTGTTGGAGCCTGGACGCCATTCTTTTCCCTTCGCACTGGCCATACCACTTTTCGCCGACACTTTGACAAAAACATCAAAAGAGCCAAGTGATCTTGACACCCCTCTGCCGCCCTCTTTCCAATCACTCTCGGAGTCATCAAAGGTGACAATAGCATATCATCTCAAAGCTGTGATCCGCCGACCAGGGATGTTTGTAAGGAATTTCACAGCGGCACAAGATGTCGACTTCCGGCCTCTTCAACCCCCAGGTTTACCCGATTGCCGCAGAGATCCGCATTACCTGAAAATATCAAGCCACTTGTCGGGAGAAGATTTCGGTTTGCTCGCCCAGGTCCAAGACCGAGACGCATTGCCGTCATATTCCCAGTGGGTTAGTTTTGAGGTCGGTTTCCTGTCGCCCAACATCATCCATCCTGGAGATCACGTCAATCTACAGATCGTTGTCACAATACCAAAGGAGATTCAACATGTCGCTGGAACCCTATGGATTACAAATTTAGTTATCCGAATTCGCGCAACGACTACTTTCAGCAATGACTACCACGTAAGAGCGCATGAAAGTCTGCTCAACATCTGTGACGTGCGGGGGAGAATCCCAATGTATACGGAGGCTGGTGGCGAGACCTCCAGCCTCCCTTCCGGCCTGTGGGAACATCAAACATACCCGTACATGCTACCTTCCTTTGCGTCTCGAGGCGTTCGGATGGCCCACCGTCTTGAGGTAGAAGCACAGATCATGTCAGAAACAACACGGATTACACAAGTAAGGACTACCCCCCCTAGAGTGATGAGATCTAACGTTCATACCCCAGATAGTGTTGACTAGATCGGACGTAAATGTGAAGAGCGGATCGTTGGCGCTGGCTTGCACATGAACTCTGCGCATTATATGTTGCCACCAGCAGTTTGCGTTCCCCAGCAATCGTCTTTTTAATGGAGCATCACTTCGTCTCACTCAATCTCTCGAGGCCATCACTAAGTCATCGATTGCGACTGTATGGTCGATTGCGATACGAGCGATGAACTACAATACGCCCATGTGCCATGTCTACTTTGTCATTGCCCTACAGTCTCAAGCAGTTGCAATTTGACGAGAACATCATCACCGTAATTTTGAAGCGGAAACCTTTTAGCTGGGGCGCTCAAATGGTTATGACATTGTGCAGATTTGACTGTATGCAATTGTTCAACGCACGAACAGCATCATTCAACGTTGAGATACAAAACACTCTGTCCCTTAATGTAGACAGCCATTTCTCCAACCTTCATGGGGATGCGACGACATTCTTATAAAGCGTCCGGCCTAGAAACTGGCTAGCTGAGCTTGCCCGACTGCCATGATGGCTAGTGGTGCTAGTCGCTGGTAAATCAATATCGGCCAGACTGGTAGAGTCGTGGGTGCACATGCCGTCAACCTACCACGAGAGGTATTCGTTGGGGGAGGGCATCGGATTTGATATCAGTTCATCTCGAGCGATGCAGCTCTGTTTCGCAGCCGTGCACGAAATGGCTCTCGGCCATTATGATGTCAAGTTTCTCGGACGGTGTAGATAGGCAAATTCTCCCCAATGCTTTCGGACACGATAGGGGCTGTAGCACGATAGGATACAGTTCTGGTCAAGGAGAGGCGCTCCCAGTCGTCGTCGTTCTCGTCGTCGTCGTTCTCGTCGTCGTCGTTCTCGTCGTCGTCGTTCTCGTCGCGATAATGTTCCGCATCATCAGAATCTGACTCTCTTGATGCATCTGTCAGCTCTGGATAGATATTGGCGGCCTCCTTGGAGACGTCCATTGAATCGTCCTTGACCTCGATACACTCCACAGTGACCAGTGTGGACGGTAATGTATAAAGGGACTTAGAGTTGCATCGCGGTGTTCGAGGCAGTTTTGCTGGACTAGAGAAGAACTCATTCTTTCTACGCTCCGCCAAATTCTGCTCTAGGTAGTCTACCGTGCATAGATGGCCGGCCAATACACGAAGATCACGGTCTTTTTGACTCGCTGACGAGACTAGCCGTGACATGGCTAACCTGTGAACGTTCTCGATCTCCTCGATTGTGGCTCTGATTGAGATATTTATCTCTTGGTTGATGATCTTGTCCTGTTGGTGAGCTGGGATCGGACAAATCCCAGCCATAGCCTGCGCAACAACAGAAGGGTGCAGAGGGTAGGTCGATTGAGGCAAGTAAGAATCGGATGCTTAGTGTGTCTGAAATGTCGAATCTGAGTTTTGTTTATATATGTTCCAGAAAGCTGTCAAACGGTTGATGTCTGCATTGTTGCTGCGATCACGGCCTCGAAAGCGCGTCACACGATCGTGTTTTGCTCTCAAGGTTACAGTCAAGAAAGAAGTCGTACAAAATTGCCGCATCACCGGCTGTACCGGCAGACACGCAAGACGATGCCGATAGACGAGACGCATAATCTTTCTCGTTATCGACCCCGAACTCTTTTCGAGCCTCGAGCAGCACCGTACACTCCGTGCACCTGTACCAAGTAGTGACTAAATAGGCTCGTAACAGCGGATCTGGTAAGGATCCGGTAGAGATTGGCACAGAACTTCAACAGAAAAGTGTTCTGGTTGTCTGCCTTCTCTATTCTGTTGGTTTCTAGGGCCGCCGTAATGATTAATAGGGCTAGTCGGGGGCATTATCGAGACCCGACACGGCAACACCACCAGCGTTCGCAGCCTTGCCGGGAGCATACCAGATCGTCTCGGCTTTCTTCTCCTTCCTCACCTTCTCAAACTCATCAATAGCACCGAATTATGACTCGAAGGAGAAATCAATCATGCCCCCTGCATTCAGCCACTGGGCTATCGTGGAGCGAAGGAGCGACTTTAGGAAGCCGCCAATAAGATCCGCCTTCCGTCCAGAAAGTGTTGGCAGTCGTACTGTTCCCCAGCATATGCCATGGTCCAAGTCCAGCGATTGCACTACCGCAGACTTCAGGCCCACATTCAGAGAACCGGAGCGCCCTTGTCCATGGCTTCCACGGTAGGCGTTGATTGCCGTGGCCTCCGAGATAAAGATATAAGGTGCCGGCCGGGCCGGACGCACATCTGATCCGGTGAAGTCCGCGGACCCACAGCTTGACCTTTGCGACAATGATAGTACGTAGTATGGATGGAACAGCCGGGGGATGAGATGAGATACATCCGGCATGATTGGCCGAGGGTCTCTTAAATGCTGCGAAGGCAGTAGTATGTGACAGAGCAAACTCATATTTAACCAAAGACGCGCGCTATGATGAATCGTGTATTTCTCGCTCAGTCATCAGGACGTTGCCCTTGAGATGTCGCATCACGTATACCTCGTCCGCCACGGTCAAGGCGAGCACAATGTTGAGCCAACGGTCCAGAACCGCAAGATTCATGATCCCGCACTCACCGACCTTGGAGTGCGGCGATGCAAGGACTTTAACAAGACTTTCCCTGAGTACATCCACATCGACCTCGTCTGCGCAAGCCCAATGCGTCGCGCCATCCAGACGGCCAAGTACTGCTTCGAAGATGTGATTGCACGGACCCCGTGCCGCCAGATCCTCCTCCTACCTTTGGCGCAAGAAACAACCAATGAGCCGTGCGACGTCGGAAGCAGCTCTGATGCAATCAAGGAGGAATTCGGTGACCTCGTAGATGTCAGCATGCTGGGTAAGGACTGGGCAACCAAAGAAGGTACATACGCCGCGTCTCCCGAAGGTGTGATCGCTCGGGGTCGAGAGTTCCGGCAATGGTTACGGCAGCAGCAGGATAAGAATGTCATTGTAGTTGGCCATGGTGCCTTCTGGGACTACCTCTTTGGAGCGGATGCCAACGATGTTCTCTCCCCAGGTATGATATTGCCGAAATCAACGAGAAGATCAGACTAATCATTCAATCAGGATACAAATCTTCGTGGACAAACCGACAATGGCGTGTCTGCGCGTTCCCCAAGGCTGAATCTGACGGCCCTATGGTAGAAGAGAAAGAATCAATTATGCGACGGAATGTATTGGACGACGGGAAATAGGTTATACCTACTCACAATCGTTGAAGATGTAATTCGTGGATTGAAAATGTAAATCAATATATACAATATACAAGTCTATTATGCTCGATTAAGATATTTCAAATATAAGGACGTTTTTATACAACGCCCTTTTAGCGAACGTTTAGGATTTTTGGGTATAATAATCTCCTTAGTCTTCGCCCTTCGTTTCAGAAGGTTTTCTTTATTTTAGAAGGTTTTCTTCGCACTGTACCGCAGGTCGTCTACCAGATCTTCTTGCCCTGACTGCCTTGCTCGACACCATGTGCAAGGCTATTACTCGCACTCTCTATTCCGTTAGTCAGGCCTTGAATCCCATCACCGACCGGAGCAGTTCTTGTGGCGTTGTTGATGGTATGGCCTACGCCTCTGCCTGCTGCTCCCACTACGCCGCCTGCTGTTCGGGAGACTCCACCGATCACTGCTCCGAGCTGGGGAGGTGGTTAGTGGGTGCATGTTGATATATGATACAAATATTATGGCGAGGTTAAGGTACCGGACATGGGCGAGACGATTGTAGCAGTGGCAAGATCAAAGCAGAGGGGGCAGTAGATAGAACGTACAGTGCCCGTGACCCCAGTCACCGCACCAGCCACGCCACTCTGGTTGCTTGAAGACATACTTCCCGTCGTAGCGTTCTTGTCGAAGTAGTTGTTGATTTTATGGCGGGCGTCTTCGGCTTCGGAGTTCAGATCTTTCATCTGTGGTGTGAGGTGTATGGCCAGATAGCAGAGAGTTTGGTGCAAGTGAGAGCTAGAATCGGCCCTGTCTGTCTGCCTCGAGCCCTATGCAACATGTATGTATAGAGTGTACGTAGAGCGAAAGGCGCAGCCTACTGCGGGTCGGCGTCATTTCTAGAGTCACGTGGGGAAGTGGATCGTACGGCAAGGTAAGATCTGCGTTACGGTTGCCTCGGAGGATTACAGTATTGGCTATGCTGTTGTCGTCTTTACTATCCGTTCTTCCCTTTTGTAGTGGTGAGCAGCTGACTCTAATACTGCGTTGGAGATCATCTTGAGCGATTCACGAGACTCGCTGGACTGGAAGAGGTGATTTGTCGCTCGAAGCTGTATCTAAGCAGTGTTTCTGAAATGAACGCCTGGGACGCTAGTCACCGGCTCTCGGGTCGCGCCTGCCAAACGTTGCCGAGCGCACAGGCCCGGGACAAGCTTGGCAAATTAAAATTATGAGGAAAGCGCGGAATCACAGACGTGATATCCTCACTTTGCACCTCTGTCCTGCTTCCCTCCTCCACCGCCAAAACATACCACAAAAGTGAGTCCAAACCACCTGTTCGACCACCAACTCTCGTACTGACACCACCAGACACTCGTAAGAAAACAGAAAAGCCGTACCTTCGCGATAGCAGTATCCGAAGGCTTCACCTCCAGACCTCCTGTCAGCTCATACACACGACATACGTCAGTCTGCGCAGACCAGCAAGCCGCTGAACATCCCTCGCTAAGTCTTGCGCAGCCTCTCCCACACGTCGCTTCGTCCTCGACAGACACATCTCCGCATCGTCACGAGACATCCCTCCACCAAAGGTACTAGCACCCTTCTTTGTCCTCAACAATCAGAAAAGCGCAAAGCAGGAATTAACCACCCAGCAGCACCCCCACCACTTCGCGACCATGTCTGAAGTGCAGAACTCGACCTCCCCAGCTGGCCAGGCTGCCTCTCCTCCTGCTGAGGGCACAAACGGCACTTCCCAGCTGAATACCAACGTCCCCGCCGGCATGTCCTCCGAGTCCAACGACATGCCCACCCCGACCTCCGCCGCTCCTTCCACCGCTCACCCCAACTCTGCCTCCCTCTACGTCGGTGAGCTCGACACCTCCGTCACCGAGGCCATGCTCTTCGAGCTCTTCTCCTCCATCGGCCAAGTCGCCTCCATCCGGGTCTGCCGTGACGCCGTCACTCGTCGCTCGCTCGGCTATGCTTACGTCAACTACAACAACGCCAACGACGGCGAGCGTGCTCTTGAGGAGCTGAACTACACTCAGATCAAGGGCCGCCCATGCCGCATCATGTGGTCTCAGCGTGACCCAGCCCTGCGCAAGACTGGCAAGGGCAACGTCTTCATCAAGAATCTCGATGCTGCTATTGATAACAAGGCTCTTCACGACACCTTTGCTGCTTTCGGTAACATCTTGAGCTGCAAGGTTGCTGTCGACGAGCTCAGCAATTCCAAGGGCTACGGGTTCGTGCACTACGAGACTGCCGAGGCCGCTGACCAGGCTATCAAGAGTGTCAACGGCATGTTGCTAAACGAGAAGAAGGTCTTTGTCGGCCACCACATCCCGAAGAAGGATCGCATGAGCAAGTTTGAGGAGATGAAGGCCAACTTCACCAACATCTACGTCAAGAACATTGAGCCGGAAGTCACCGACGACCAGTTCCGCGAGCTGTTCGAGAAGTATGGCGAGATCACCTCCGCCTCGCTCGCGCACGACAACGAGACTGGCAAGAGCCGTGGTTTCGGCTTCGTCAACTACGTCAACCACGAGGATGCCTTCAAGGCTGTCGATGAGCTCAACGATCTGAACTTCCACGGCCAGAACATCTACGTTGGCCGTGCCCAGAAGAAGCATGAGCGTGAGGAGGAGCTTCGCAAGCAATACGAGGCCGCGCGTCAAGAGAAGAGTGCCAAGTATCAGGGCGTGAACCTCTACGTTAAGAACCTTGCGGATGATGTCGATGACGAGGAGCTTCGCAAGATCTTCGAGCCGTACGGTGCTATCACTTCCGCCAAAGTCATGCGCGACACCATGCCCGCTGACGAGGCTGAGGCTGACCAGGATGGCGAGGAGAAGGTCGAGGAGAAGGAGGAGAAGAAGGAGGAGGAGACTGAGGAAGAGAAGGCTGAGGAGGCGAAGGAGGAGAAGAAGAAGGAGGGTGACGATGTCGATGATTTGGATAAAAAGATGAAGACTGTCACCATTGGCGGCGAGAAGAAGGTCCTCGGCAAGAGCAAGGGCTTCGGTTTCGTCTGCTTCTCCAACCCCGACGAGGCTACCAAGGCCGTGACTGAGCTCAACCAGAAGATGATCCACAACAAGCCTCTCTACGTCGCTCTCGCCCAGCGTAAGGAGGTCCGCAAGAGCCAGCTCGAGGCCAGCATCCAGGCCCGCAACCAGATGCGCATGCAGCAGCAGGCTACCGCTGGTGGCATGCCGCCGCAATTCATGCAGCCACAGATGTTCATGGGTCCCAACGGCCAGCCTATGATGATGCCTGGTGCCGGTCGTGGCGGCCAGATGCCATTCATGCAGGGTATGCCCGGTCAAGGACAGCGCGGTGGGTTCCCAAGTATGCCTCAGCAGGGCGGTCGTGGTGGCCCTCAGGGTATGCCTCAGATGCCACAGATGCCGTTTGGTATGCCACCTCAGATGCAGGGCTTCCCTCAAGGCTACGGCAATCCAGCTGCCTACGCTCAGTTAATGCAGGCTGCTCAGGCACAGGCTCAGGCTATGGGTGGTCGTGGTGCAGGGCGTGGTGGTCCGATGCAGGGTATGCCCATGATGCCCGGTATGCAGGGTATGCCTCCTCAGATGATGGGTGGTCCGGGTGGTCGTGGTGGTTTCCCAGGCCAGCAGCCTCGCGGCGGTATGATGGGTGGACGTGGCGGTCCGGATGAGCAGCGTGGCCGTGCTCCCAACCGTGGTCCTGGTGGGCCTCAGATGGGAGGTACTGCCGGTCTTGACATGAACCAACTCCAGTCCGCTCCACCACAGCAGCAGAAGCAGATGTTGGGTGAGGCTCTGTACCCCAAGATCCACGCTCAGCAGCCCGAGCTCGCTGGCAAGATCACGGGTATGTTGCTGGAGATGGAAAACAGCGAGTTGCTTGGCCTGTAAGTTTTGATCGCTCTCTACATTTGCATGATGCAACGATGCTAATCTCGTACTACAGCACCACCGATGACGACGCCCTCCGCCTCAAGGTCGAGGAGGCCCTGAACGTCTACGATGAGTACATCAAGAACCAAGGCGACAACTCCGGCCCTCAGCAAGCCAACGGCACCGAGAACATGAACCCTACCGCGGAGGAGGTCAAGGATCCAGAGGCTTAGACGCTCCTCTTTCTCGATGCGATGCGAAACGACATGAATAGCGGTAGCAATTGATGAGCTCTTCACTGAGTCTTGTTGATATGCTGCTGCTCCCCTTTTCTTTACACTTGCTTCACGGACTGGACACACCAAATACCGCTATGCAACATGGTAACCGGAAAACGTGATATTTACGATACCCCCTTTGAACTCTGGACCCAGCGGATGGGCAGGAGAATGAATCATGTACTGCTACTGCTGCGCACACCGAGCACGAACATGCTGTGCGTTCGAAGAGGAGATGGATAGATGGCTGCTTTTGTTACCTTCTTAGCAGCTCATGACTTAGCTATGAGAGCAGAGGCTATGCAGAGCATGCGAGGAGTTAGGGTGGAGCGGTTGCGGAAAAAGCGATATGCGAAGCTAGTTGTGTGTGAGTAGCTATGGTGTGGGTATGATTAGTCTGACGAATATGATTTCCGGAACTTTTGCGCGTTGTGTTTGCCACGTCGTCGAGCATGGCTACTTTGCCACACTTGTTGTTGTCCTATGCCCATGATTGATATGAGTTCCGTGGGACCAGCGAGCAGGAGCGTTGGTTCGAATCTTCGGAGGGCTCCAGAACCTTGTTCTTCCTTTTAACTACGCGTTTCACGTTATCGTCCATTGGCGCGCATCCTTCAGCAACTGAGTGGGTCCAGAACGGGCGCTCTATCGGCCGTTTTGGAAAGTGTTGGTGGCGGCTGTGTCTGCGATGATTCCTTTACATTGCTCGCTGCCAACCTCCATGGCATGTATTGCCCCAACACGACCTCTGCCCTGGTGTGGCTCTTAAGGCTTTTATAAACTGACAGCACCGTCCAAAGGATTCGACAGCGTCCGTGAAGGCGTTTGTGAGGCATGGACTCTTCCGCCATGAAGCTATTGAGGTATGGACCAGATGGTTGAAAGGTCGGACAGTCATGCGCACCAGGATGTCAATCCCAAGGACTTTGGCACTGCGACTCAAGTCGTGGACGAGACGAGCTCGCAGGTCTTTCCATCATCCCAAACACGAGATCGTTCACCCAGACGGGCGAGTTGGCACGGCATTGCCATATACACCGCCCTCTGCCTCTCAGTCGTGCCAGTTGCTCTCCTCCTCGGCTTCTCCCCAAAGCTATCCACGGCTCTTGCCTACAACGGCTGCACCACCAACGGCGACTTTGCCCTGCCCTACAGCGCCTCGGTCTGGAGCCCAAAGTTCTTTTTCACCATCACCGTCCCTTTCAGTGGAACCGGCGCAGCATCTTGCGGCTACTCCTCCGACCAGAGTGCCGCTTCCGCTCGTGACGGGTACGGCTACACCGCCGTGAAAGCCATTGACCTTGCGTGGGATCTCCTCGTAGGGCGAGGTGGCCAGCTGGTCTTCGCGTGGATGGCGTATCACGTTTTCGGCGCCGTTTTGACGAAGTTGATGCAAGAGGGGGAGGTGGGCTACGATCTCTTTGCTTCCATCGCGTTCCAGAGCGGGAGTGTACCAGCGCTACTGACCACTTTACGGCATGTCCTTGGCTGGGCACCCGTACCCAGGACGAAGAGGGCCCTGGGGTTCTATTTGGGAATGGCCATGGTGATGCTGTATATCGCCATGATGCCTACGCTTCTGTCTGCCATGACGGGTTATACGAGCTTGTATTTCTTTTACTTGATCAATAAGGGCACTTACCTGGCTGACGCAGGTGCTGTGGACTGCCGGGGCACGTTCGCACCGGCGTATGGGAGGGTTGTCATGCCTACTGGTAATAACACGGAAGACTTTGTGCTTCCTTATGATCACTTCCCGGACTCGGACGCTACTGCACCATGGATCGATTGTAAGTCTCGTCTCACATGTATTCCTGCAAGCGTGAAATGAACACATGCTGATCCTGCGATGGTGAAATATCAGACTATAAGCGTTACCAGGACATCTACGCTCAATGTCCCGATCCATCGAACGTCACGGCTTGTCCTGCTGCAAACGTTTCCTCGCGCATCGACCGTATGACATTCGTGACAAACTACGTGGGTTGTGATCGTCACGTCTGCGATGACAATGGACCTGTTACGTTCCCGCCGCCCTTTCCCAACTTCCAGACTTGGCTGATAGGCGATGGTCGAGCGTACACGCACTGGCTGTGTGGCGCCGACACCGTCTTCGTGCCTGTGCCTGGGCGAGATCCAGAGGGACGGATGGACGGTAGCGTGCTAGGCACGAACGAGACCATAGATGTCTTTACGTCGATCTGCCGGGCCGGCTCGCGATATGCGTGGGGTTTCAGCTTCTTGCTCAGCTTCCTCACCGCCGTCTTGAATATCTTCGCGCTGGCGATTCTGTGTGCGATGTGGATGGGTGTGAGAGGGGTGCGGTTTGAGCAGGGGACGCTGAGGGATGCTGTGATTATGGTTTCGCAGGCGAAGCGGGATCATGGGGAGATGGTTGGGGAGTGGAGTGCTAGAGCTTTGAGGCGGGAGGTTGAGAAGGGGAAGGTGGGTATGACGACGAATGAAGGATTGCGAAGGAGAGATCGTGAGGGGGTGAAGGATGGGGCGCGGCGTAGGTATGCCGATTCTGATGATCATGACTGAGCTAGAGCGGTATAGGTACGACACTGAGGAGCAATGGGTATACATGGTATATAGATCATTTCAGCTGTTGAAAGCACTCCTTTCGCCTCCAGCACGTTCTCGTTGTCCTCTTGGACATTGAATTGCTATAATGTGGCTGGCGCCAACGCCAGCAATTGCTGGGTCTTCATGGGCTACCAAGACCAATATACTTGCAGTCATTCGCAATTTCTGGAGATTCACGAACACAATGTATCGAACGTGGTGCACTTGCATGATGGCTCTCGATACGATCGCGGCTGCGGCCTGGCAATGGTTTTACGTGGTAGGAGAGATGGTTTGTCGCATCTGATGCAGGTTTAGATCATGCATTGCTGAGCTGAAGGCATTCGGTGTTGCTCGTGCTGCACGGCCCACCTCAACATTCACCATGGTCGTCCAACCCTAGATGTGGCAATGGAGCTCCCCCTAAGAAACGCTTACGCCACAGATTCTCGCCGAACTACGTGGCAACTTGATTACCGCGCATCAACCTGAAAGTGAGAGCATGGTCTGTGGACCGATGCACTAGCGTTGCTCGAAGTCGTTACCCTTTTCGGACCTTGCTGAGCGGCTGAGAAGCATATTGCCACACTCGTTATCGCACCGAATCGAAAACTTATCGATGTGCCTCGGCGGAAGCTCCACGCGAAGGGATCTGGGCAACTGAAAGCCAAAGACACACAACTGTGATCGATTGTGATGCCGCGATGCCGAGGACGGGTTGGCGAGGAGCCTTGAAATCTATGCTCCGGCTGGGCGCATGGCAGGGAAGACAATCGGGTGTGGCATTGGGGCGTGATCAGTTGGGAGATACACTGATGCTCATGTGCTATCGCCCAGTGTCGAGCATTCAGGCTCTTGTCTTGTGGGCGACATACGGCAGTGGCATACAGCTTATCTTGGGTTTGTCTTGAAAACCGGACGTTGAATACCGACTAGGAGAATTCTCCACCGTAGTTGCAGTCATGGTGTCGAGCCGTCCGTTTACACTGCTCCTTCCGCATGCTAAGGCTCGCAGCTGTGTCTCCAAACCGCCGATGGCCGTTGTATCCACTTGAACGAAGAGGCTCGAAAGTCTGAATAGAGTTACCAAAGGTGAGCACTCTGACGCCACTAGCAAGGGACCCCAGCCCTTTCCGATAATCCACTTGCTAAAGCCAAAGCCATGCTGACCTCACCTGCACATGCATGTGGCTAACATATCGAAACAGAGTTCTCCACGTACGATCTTTTCAGCCTGGAATCGATCCGCATGATGTGTACTCCACTCGGCTGTTCTTGGAAGAGCTCAGCTATGCTAATGCAGGTACGAAGGATCCTGGTCCCCTGATCGACCTCCTGATGAGTCCGCCTGTATCCTCCTGCCGCAGGTCTTCGGCGATCTTGTGCAGCGACATGCGGCATTGTCGCTCTTGGTTTCGATAGCGCGACGCCCTCGTCGCTATATCCATTCGTCATGCGGCCCTGGTGCCGACAGCCTTGTGGCGAACGCTGCTGATTTGCATCTTGTTCAAACAGCCTAGAACGATATACCCGTAGCAGTGGAGATACTCGAGCCTCACTGGTCCGCAGGCGACTTATCCACTTCGAGCTAGGACGTCTGGCGATTGTATGAAGAATCATGACCATCCCTGGTTGAGTCGTCCACTCGGCAGGGTCTCTATAGGTAATAATTCTCATAAACAGTCTTTCGCAGCAGCTCAACACCTCTGCACGCCTCTGCTATTGCAAGATCTCTATCCACTCGTTCGGGGATTTGCTGTTTTCTGTCATTGTGACTGTTGCGCTTAGCACAACACCTTCGTTATAACACAACCTGCACATTCATCTGCGGTATGAGGTTCCACCAGATCGCGGGCGTATGCCTAACAGCCTTCTCGGCCTTGACAGCGGCTGCTGTGGTACCCGCGGAGGTGGAGAAGAGAGCGACTTCGACGAGCATTGCGAGCAGCACAACATCCAAGAAGGCTGACGCACAATGCACGAATGGACCTACCTCTCGTGCTTGCTGGAAGAATGGCTACAGCATCGCTACGGACTTTGATCAAAAGTTCCCAACCACCGGGAAGACTGTATCCCACTCGCTCACTATCACGAACGGCACCTGCAATCCAGATGGGCACGGCGAACGACTATGCCTGCTCATCAACAACCAGTATCCTGGACCTGTGGTTAATGCTGCATGGGGAGATATCTTGAGCGTCACCGTGACGAATGCGATGAAAGACAATGGCACCAGCATTCATTGGCACGGTATCCGCCAATACCACAGCCCTGGTTACGACGGTGTGAACGGTATCACCGAATGCCCTCTCGCACCTGGACAAACCAAGACATACACCTTTCAAGTCTCTCAGTTCGGCACATCGTGGTACCATGCTCACTTCTCGTCGCAGTATGGTGATGGTGTCATTGGTCCCATCGTGCTTGATGGACCGGCTTCTGCGAACTACGACGAGGACCTCGGACCATACGTGCTCAATGACTGGTACTATCAGACTGCTTACCAGATCAACTCCATCGCATCGGTCAACCTCGCTGCTGGCGGACCTCCACCAAATGCCGACAACATCCTGATCAACGGCACCAACAAGAACGCCAACGGTGGTGGGCAGTACAACAAAGTCTCCATCAAATCTGGCAAGAAGTACCGTCTCAGACTTATCAACATGTCCGTCGACAACTACATCCGTGTGACTTTGGACAACCATGTGATGCAGGTCATGACGTCTGACTTCATCCCGGTGAAGTCGTTCTACACAGAGACCTTGTTGGTCGCAATCGGACAGCGCTACGATGTTGTGATAACCGCCAACCAAACGGCTGGCAGTTACTGGTTCCGTGCCGATGTGGCGACCGATTGTTTGAGCGGTAATAACTTCAAGGGCCTTGCAGTCTGGACATACGATAGCGTTACAGCCGCTACACCCACTAGCAGCGCCTATGCGAACCCAGCACAATGCATTGAGCCCTCCCAGGCTGCTCCTTACTGGGTCCAGCCAGTTCCCAGTGGTACCTTCCAGCAGAACATTGGCAACTTCCCAATCGGCCTGACCCAGGCTCAAGTTGTGCCCAACGGCGATGCCATTGTTGTGTGGAGTCTCGGCTCCGAGTCCATCAACGTTGATTGGGAGAAGCCGACCTTGCAGTATGTCATGTACAAGAACACGAGCTACCCGGCTGCCTTCAATGCTATCCCTACCGTCAACGAGGGTGCATGGAACTATGTCCTCGTCCAGCAAGGTCAGCGTGTCCCACCTGTCCCGCATCCATTCCATCTCCACGGCCACGATTTCTTCGTCCTGGGCCAAGGCAGCGGTACCTTCGACCAGAGCACTGCCTCTCTCAACTGGGCCACCCCACCTCGTCGTGACACTGCCACTGTCATCGGCGGTGGTTGGTTGGCTATTGCTTTCAACTCCAACAACCCGGGAACTTGGCTCATGCATTGCCACATCGCCTGGCACGTGAGCGAAGGTCTTGGGCTCCAGTTCATCGAGTCTCCAGATCAAATCACTCTTCCTGATCAGACTCAATTCTCGCAGCAGTGTGCGGCATGGGACAAGTACTACCAGACCGCATACTGGAAGAAGGATGATTCTGGCATCTAAGCTACCCGTTCCTTCTACGAGTTCGATGTATGTACTGCATGTAATGGATCTTACGATGTTGGGAAGATGTATTGTCATTGGGTGACGAGTTCGGTTATAATAGATTGCCACACTAGCTGAATGAATTTTGTCTATACTATTTGCCCTCACAGCCTCATATCGTGAGGGTCAGCCCAGTCTACAAAGCGCTCTTGTGGCCGGACTGTTTCTTCGCTGGGGTAGATCGTCGCATCGCAATTCGGTATGCTCACGAGGGCCAATGCTCTGCGACTTCCCTTTCTCGATCATTGATGAGCTAAAATGTTGAGGAGGGAGGCATCTGGCTTCCGAGTCTCCAAAGTCTGACTCTCGCTCGCATGTCTATCAAACAATAGTCTGACATGAGGAAGCGAGAGGCTCCGCATATCAGCCAATAGCGATGACACACATTTGGTGCATGAATCAAGCGCCTTACAGACCGCATCACGCGACTGCGAAATAGTCTGTACTTCTCTGCCATGCACAAAGTATTGGAAGGAAGTGGGACCTGCAGAAGCGCTGCACACGCGGCACATGCCCGAAAACCCAAGGGCCCGGATTTGCTCGATGCGGCCATCGATCGTCCCGTTGAAACCTTGCCCTTGCTCTCGCTGCCGCTGTGGAGCACACTACCCAAATCCTCTTTTCACACCACTTGCTGAGATCTTGCGTCAACAGATCCACGCCGTCGCTTCGACGTTAGCGAAGCCGGTGAGGTGTGGCGAGGCTGCTGAAACGGGCAGGCCTTGGCAAGCCATCATCGTGGGCGTCACAAGTTCAGGACGAGCGACTGGACGTAGATCTTACCTGGCAGCAGAACTCTGGGCCTTGATATCGGAAACACCGGAACCATCCTTTGTTCAGCTATGGCTGTATCAGCTATATGATCGGGTCCGGCGGTGTCCAAGATCCGACATCCCCCGATTTGGAAAAGGTCGTCAGCCTCAGACTATCGAGTACAGACCCTTATACGCGGCCGGAGCTCGCACTCTACCTTGCCGCTCAATCCCTATAGAGATCCCGGTCTGATCGGCAGGAACAGGGCGTCTGAGTTTATGCAGTGCATGTTGGACCCGCTACTATAGACTTTTGCCTGTACATGAGCTAGTGGAAGAGGTTGAACATCAGATGTGGAAGGAATCCTCCACCTCGCCGGGCAGGCTAGCACCTTGTTCTGGCGTCTGCCAATGCCCACGATGATGCCGAATCGAGCGTTGGCCACAGCGTAGAAGATCTCGAAGCCCGAGGATCTGGCTGATAAGCCTGTGCGGTCCATTCTGGTAGTAAAACGTCAAGTCACTCGCTGTTGACCTTCGCTGTTTTCAAGGACTCCAAGTTTCTCTCGTCTACACTCAGGATCTTGATCCAACACATTCGCTATGCCTTGTTCATATCTCGCTACTGGCGCTCTTGCGCTCACACTCGCTACCCGCACCTTCGCTCAGACTTGTGGTGACTGCCAGTCCTTTGGTGTCGACTTCCAGTCTGGCGAGTCCTACTTCCAGAACTCCTTGTCAACGAGTCCGTTCACAGCAGTACAGGAGTTTGAGGGCTGCTCGAATGACACATCTCACAATGTGTTGGTCGATCCCAATGGCGACCAGTACGAGTGCAGCTTGACTCCAATGCAGCCGGACGACACCCCAGAAACCATCACTTGGTAGGCATTACGAAAGAAATCGATAACCCACCCTGCTAACTGAATCCTAGCCCTGTCAACAAGAATCAGCTCTACACTGGCGACTGGTCGCTTCTGATCATCTCCAATAATGGCGACTGCGCGCCCATCGACTACGAGCGAGACTTCCATCTTGACGTTGGTCCCCAGCAGACAGTCACAGTGTCTCCAACCATCACGATCCAGACAACCGTGACACCTATCGAGAGCGATACTGCAACTTCGACACAGACCATCACAAGCAGCGCAAAAGCAAAGACCATAACTGTGCCTGCCATCAACTTCAACCCAACAATTACGATCGCACCTCTTCCGGCCATCACCGTCGTCACAAAGGCTATTCTGACTGTCACAAAGACCTCGGTTCAGCCCCAAGTCGTTGCAACGAGCACCGCAGTTGCCACTGCAACATGCCAGCTTCCCCAGCGTCGACGAGTCGCCGATCCAGTCGCCAGCATCGTAGCTACCATCCTTAGCGATCTCGGACTACACCTCCGTGATGCTGCACCAGAGCCCACTGCCCGCCCTCGCTCTGGAACCAGCGAGTTCAAGCGTGCTATCCTCGAGGGCCGTGCTGTCGAACCAGCAGTTAAGGCCAGATGGCTCGAGGAGCGCCACGAGAAGTTGGCGCTTCAGAAGCGTGCGCCTGATCAGCCGACCACTACCACCACCAACATCGCCGCTTCGTCGACCGTGACTTCTACAGAGACTGACTTCGTGCCCACCATTACTGTGACTGGCTACACCACACTTGTGCAGACATCGACGGTCACGCCGACTATCACCGTGAGCAAGGGCATCGCCTTCGGCATTTCTACCGTCACTCTCGCTCAGAAGACCTTGACGAACACTTTCTGGCTTCCTGCGACTCAGGTCACGGTCAGCGCCACAAAGGATGTCACTTTGACCATCACCAACACGATCACTCCTTCTGCGGCTGCAGCAAGCTGCTCTAAGGCTGGTGGTGTGTTGGCGGCATGAACGAATTGAGTGCGTGAACGATAATGCGCGAAAGAATGTATCATGCAATGCGACCTTATAGATGTAGACTATTGTCAAACATACCAAACCATCCAGTTCTAGATCTGCATCCGTCCACGTAACGTTGTAAACGGATCGATGCTCTGCCACGCGTACAGCTAGGAAATTTACACCACTCCTCAAGACAACAGGACTTACGGGCAACTCGAGCGAATTGTGACAAGAGGGAGGGATGTCTTGACCGTTCATGCAACCAATCTATGGTACTGTATAGTTGACCTAGCATCAAGCTACCTATGCAGTATGACACCATCAGCCATGCTGCGCCTGCGCAGGTGACGCCCCCAAGACGCCAAGCAAGCAACAATGCGCTCTTCTTGCCAGCGAAAAGCTCACTATGATATGGCTCTGACATGGCGTGCTCCCCAACTAGCTGCACTCCACCACATTTGGTCCATCTCCGGAGAAATTGTCGCTGGCGGACGCTCCCTCCTCTTCATTCGCCCTCCATGGCCACACTTCAGACATTGCCACCCCCAATTTGCTCCATATGCACCTCAACCACATCGCCATCCTCCAGACCAACCTGAGCACGCATTAGAAACAGTCTAGTTTCATCGTGGATTGAGCGGCACTTACATCCGCAGGCGTGCTATCAGCATTGATACGATCGCCCTCAAACAAGAAGCGGAGAGTGTTGGGAGCCTTCTCCGCCTTGGCCGAGAAGTGGTTCATTGCTTTGCCTAGGCGAGTTGTGGCTTTGAGCTTGAAAGTGAGGGCGAAGTCGGTTTGGTCTCGGAATGTGAGACTCATGCTCAGTGGTGCTGCTGGAGGCACGTCTTCGGCATTGTTGATGATGTTGTTGTTGGGCATCTCGCTGTGGCCGCCTGCACCATCTTCTGGTGCGTCTTCGACACGAGCGTGATAGTTGGCACCGTTCGGTTCTGGTTGGATGCCGTCCATGTTGATCTTGTTTGTTTCGATCGAGTTCAAAATCTGCGGAGGTTTTAAAGTGTTGCAATGAAGCACATTTGTTATGAAGCAGTGGTAGAGTTGTTGCCTAGCATTGAAGTCATGTTCAAGACCGAACTAGCGGATGCATGCATGCATTCAGCTTACACATACGCATGTGACAAGCTGCAGGCCATCTTTCATTGGTCCATCATCGTTGATACAATGAAGAGGTCATTGTGGCCGTTGTCGCTCAGCCAGGAGCTTCACCAGAGATAGCAGCAACCATGAGCGCATCAATGCGCTGCTTGTAAAGCGTCATGGTGTGCATTGCAGGATCACCAAACACCACCGAACGAAGCTCTTCGTCCGTCAACTGAACAGCTTCCACAGCACCCGATCTCGAAGTCGGCTTCTCCCGCAGCAGAACCAATCGTCCAGCCGTCGAGAGTGAAGCATCTGGGACCGGCCAGCGAGGTGGCAGCGCGATCTTCGAGGATATGGCCGCATCCCCCTTCAGAGTCTGCCGCGACACATGCTCACGAAGTGCTTTGTGAGAACACGTGTTCGGCGCGGGAGAGGCGAGAAGCTTCGACAGTGACTTGATATAAGCCCAGTCTGCGCGCACAACCAAGTCGCCTTCATTAGCAAAAGCCAAGAACTGATTACTCCTGCCTTGCCGCCTGCTCGGCAGTTGCAATGAAAGCAACGAGACTGGCGGTGCTCCAAACGTCACACAATGTAGTCGCCTGAACACGCCAGCCAGGGAGGTCAGCTCAGAGTCCAGAGTCTTGGACATGATATGCATATACAGCAGACTCGCCACCGCACCACCAGCCGAATGCCCAGTGAAAAGCAACGAGCATCCGGCCCAGGACGGCTCGTTCTCAATGAAGCTTCGCAGTTGTGCAGCCACCGGACCGATCATCGCCCGTGCGACTTCGAGAAACCCAGCATGACAAGCATTCCCTTCATCGTCCAAAAAGCCCACCGGAAGCTTAGGATCAAACCCAAAATTGACCTGCCAATCGACAATATTCTTCTGGCTGCCTCGGATCGCCACAATGAGAAGCTTCCTATCGTCGACTTCGTGGTCTTTCACCAGCATGGCTTTAGTGCCCGAGCGGGGGTCTGCCGCTACGTAGCCCTCGGCTGCACCTTTGCGTGGTCGCTTGTACACTTCTAAGGATGCGTTTGCTGCTCGACAGACGACGGGCCAGGTGTCGGTGTACATTTTGAATGGGACCATGCCGGGTGGTAGGCGGGAGTTGCGATAAAGCCATGACTTCTTGAAGTTGAGGATCCCGCTTCTCGAGTCCGTTGTCTTGACTTCGGGGCGTTGTCGTCCGGGTTTCGAAGGTATTGGTGTCAAGACTGGATCGACCTCGTCTATTGTGTCCAGCCCTCTTGCTAATGCTTCGACTTCGTCTATGTCGACGTCTTCTTGTACGCCCCGCGAGAGCATGTCGTTTACTCGGGCGGCTACTCGGTCGACTAATGCTGCGCCTTGGTTCATTCGACGTGCCACCGAGCAGTCATTGTTCCCGCTGGTCATGGGTCTTGATACTCGTGGTGTGGCTGCACTCTGGCTTGTCCAAGCTCCTGCCGTTTGAGGGCGATCGAAATTGATTGTCGATGTCGAAGCCCATGGAGTAGCATAACCAGGCGGGAGGCCGTACGAGGGAGGATACTGGTCTGCTAGGTACTGCTGGCTCGCGAAAGCCGGAGCGCGTGCCCATAGTGGAGCGTTGTATGGTTCACCATAGCTCTCGTAAGGCTGATATTGTGGTGGTGGAGGTCTTTGGTCGGTCAAGACGTTCTTCAATGGTTGTGCCTTCAGGTCACGCTTCTTCTTCTCTTTCGTGGGGGAAGCTACCATGGTATCTGTGCCCGACAATCTCGCTCGACGCTGGAGGAGATGCATCGTGCTATTCGACCAAATCGTCCTCTAGTTCGAAGACTTCCCATGCGAATTGCTGGAATCACTAGCTCATCGTCTACAAGTCGCGTACCGACTCATCGCACACGAAAAGGAAAATACGTGAGTGTGTAAGGATCGAATACAGTAACACTTACAGAATAAGAAGACATTCACCTCCCCAAACACCTTATTACATCGCAAGGCTCACTCACGGCTTCCAAAGCCTCCGGGCGATGGATGGGACTCCGCCACAATCGCCTTGGGCTCTACATGATGCGCATGAGACGAGTTGCCTTGACTGGCTGAAGGACATGAAACGGACCTAAGTGGCACGAGCCGCGATTGCATGATGCCAAGGCTCGCCCCGTTTGGGAGGAGTTGTGCCTGATATTGGGTGCCTGAGGTGGTGTGAATGTTACTATGATTTTTATGCAGGAGAATGGTTTGCGATGGGAGTTGCGATACCCGTGAGGCAGCTTGGAGTGACACAGTATCATATAATGCGGAGTGTCAGGTCGCTGGTCGCACATTGCGACCTTATGCAGCTGTCCGCTGGAATCATGCTGTCTAGGGCGAAGGCAATGAGTCACCATGTTTACCAGTCTCGAAGGGGTACCGCAAGGCAACTGATCACGCATATCGAGACCACACGTTACGAGCGTCATGAATACTCGCCACACGGCTTCTTCAGAGTCTTGCAATATGGTACTCGAAGCGCAGATACGATGGTCTTGGTAAGTATAATACAGATGTCGTGGCCGAACTCGTCGTGCAGAACTGGTATACATGACCGAGCTCACAGCTTCGGGATGAACATGGGCGTGTTCTTCTTCCACTCCTGGTAGTCTTTACGATCGCCATATCGCTTGTCGTACTTGTTCTCGCTCATGGGAACACCAGAAACCTGTTTCATGTCAGCATATGCATCATCACCTCAACATAGTAGGAGGATTTCACTTACCTTCAGTAGCAAGAATGTAACGAAAGCCGGGCTCACAGCAGCCATACCCAACGCCCCAACCCTCGCAACAGCACTTCCACTAAACCCCATTCCCGCTTGTCCAACGCTCGACAACATCACTCCAGCAGCAGTAGTAGCAATACCCGTCCACAACGTAGCCTCGCCAAAGTAATTGGGATGCCTACTCTTACTCCATAACCCTCTAGTCAAAAACTCCTCATTATGCTTCTTCTCCTTCTTCTCCTTGACCCATTTGTTCTTCTGACTATCGGCCGTAGCCTCGAAGGTGATGCCTCCGACGTACAAGAGCACACCGAGGATATCTGTTAGTGTTACTAATGGGAGGACGGCGAGCGTCGTGGCGGGGATGCTGTTGATGGCTAATACGGGCATAAGGCATAATGATACCCAAGTAGCTTGGGCGAGGAAAGCTCCGAGGAATTTGGGAGCAGATTCCCGGATCCCGTTGAAGCGGCTATCTTTTCCTTCGTCCGCAGTAATTCGTGCGAAGAGGAAGGAGCCCAAGCGTGTGGCCCAGATTGTCACGGCGGCGGAAAGGACGACTTGCCGCCAATTCCACGCACTGACACCACCTTTACTCGTCAGACTAGCCAGGAGACTTGGCCATGCTGGTGCTGTGGCGGACGTACTCGCTGCTAGACGAGCGCGGAGGGTGGGAAGGTAGAGGGATAGTGCCGTGCAGGAGATGTAGGTCAGACTGCCGCTGAGATCGTAGAAGCGTTCGGTTTGGCCGAGGATGGAGGGTAAGGCGGCCGCGGCTTGGAGACCGAAAGCTAGGCCGATGCTGGGGACGAGGGTGCGGAGGAAGGGGTTGCGGTAGTTGGTTGCATGGAGGAGGGCGTTGAGGAGGCCGGACATGATGGCTGTGGGTCCTTGATGTCGATGCTGCTGCTGAGGAGGTGTTTTGCTCCGTTTAGTTGGAGGAGCGTTGAGATGAGTAAGAGCACGTCTATATGACCATACTGGGGAGGAATAGCAACTCGACTTGATATGTAGCTCAGAACATGTCTGTAATCCTTCGCGTGGCCTTTCACATGCAAGCAGTGACGACATTGTCCCAATCGGGATGGCACCGACAGGAGCTCGGATTTTGGATCTGCCCGAGTTCCTCTTCACAGCTGTTTCCTTTCGCTCGTCACCCCAAATGGGGAGGAGTAGTAGAAGTGAGAGTTCAGTCGACCCCGGAGAAGGCATACTTACCAAGTCCGCGATATCTCGGCCGGGGGACATCTCTTCAAGCGGCCGGGCTCATGGGACTGCGTTCGATATACAATGGCATCTTCGAACACTCCGGAGCCCACTCTCTCCCCCAGATATGTGCTGCCATCGGACCTCATACTGCTGAATTATGTTGTCTGGGGCAAGACGAGCTCTGCTTAGTAGGGGTCTTTCAAATACTCGTTGACATACACTCTCTTCTCACCGCATGCAGACATTCTTGACAAGAGACAGCATGTCGGATTCGAGGGCCGCCATTCCTGCAGGCTTTCGCAATGCAGCTCACATGTTATGCCTGGTTTGCTCGATGCTCGGTCTCATATCACGGTAGTCAGAACGTGAAGGCATTTCCCAGACTCGATGTTGCAGTCATGATACAGCGGTAACGCCCCGCACTTGTAGGAACGATACGCGTGTACAGTACGCGGATCATGTTTCCGGCAAGTTTCGAGTCACTGTCGCTGAAAGCAGCTATACGAAGAGTCATATCAAGCATTCGAGGTATAACATCTCACAACAGCCACTGCCCTAGCTTCTACTACTTCCTAAATCCCCAATCCCACCAATCTGACTCTCTGTACCACTATCCTCGATCAAAATGACAGCACCCTTACCCCTCTCAGCACCTCCTCATATCCTCTCCCTCCTCTCGGACTTACACAAGAAGTCCCTAGATCAAGAAGCAACCCTCTCCAAAACCGGCAAAGTCTTCTCTACAACCCTCATCGACGACCTAGCCGCGACCAAGACCGAGACTCAATCCGGCGACCTGGAGGATATCTACGGCCATTCCGCCAGCGCCTCCTCATAATCAGGGACCACAGACTTCGATACCCTAATGCAAGATAAATTCATCGCGTTGGACGAGGATAAATGCTGTTTAATGTACTAATTACTCTTATCCATGGGCGCGACCAATGTCGTAGAAGCTGGTACCAGTTTCGGCGTGAGTACGATTTATCTTGCGCTTGCTGTGGGGGAGGATAAGCGGAGGTTGGGGACGAAGGCTGGGGATGGTGAGTGGGACGGAGATGGAATTGTCTAAGGCGGAGGTGGCAAGGGGGTATTGGGAAAAGTGTGGGGAGGTGGTGAGTAAGGAGGTGGAACTGAGGGTTGGGATTTTACGGGAGACGTTGAGGGAGGGATTGCCAGGGGAGGGGGTGGATCTACTTCTTCTGGACAGTACGTTCATCCCACACCGCCCTCATGATGTCTAGCAAGTTTCTATTCCCTGATAACATGCCTCGTCTGGTCTGCCCTCGCTCTCCTGAACTTGGAACTCGTGCAGCCGCATTTGAGGCCGGGCGCGGTGGTACTGAAGGATAATTATTCTATCTCCAGGGCTGAGTGGTATAAGGATCTCCTGGCGTATTTGAGCCTTTGCAGCTTCTCGTGCTCAGGACGTCACCAGAACGCGCACTGCTATTGTCATTTCTTCGTGAACTATTCGGCCATGCTTTTGGTGCGTTGATGTTATGTCGGTCAAGCTTATGATTAGAGCTTTAAGCATAGTCCACCTTATTATGCTTGTCGCGAGACGTTTGTTAGTGGAGAGCACAGGGCTGGCCAATCGTGGAGACCTCACACGTGATGTGGCGGATCATCTTCCGCACCTATGGCCTTTTTGCTCCGGGCTTGGCACGCCCAAGCCAGAACTTCGCGAAATTGTTGGCGCGGGAATGAACTGGGCTTTGCAGCGACATCGACAACGACAACCCCATCGCCCACTACACCGTCGACATGGTAAGCGTACACTCACTCACTCACTCACCCATCTAGCAAATTAGTTACATGCCTCTGCTGTCTGCTGTCTGCTTTCTCGCACACACCCAGCATGCTGTAGCGATGACCCTCCAAGCCCACCAATGCACTGTCTGTGTCTCTTCGGAGCAGCAGCAGCAGCAGCAGCAGCGGTGTCGTGCTGAAATGGCTTGAGCTGCCCCTCTACCTGTCAGGATCGCGAGAGCGATAAACTGGCAGGCACGATGCAGACTCTGTAGAGATTGAACAGTTGACTGACTGTTCCTTCTCAATGACAGCCTCCCAAGTCTGGTAAGAAAGCCGCCCCAGCGCCCTTCCCGGGCACCAAAGCTGGTGTGAGCGGAAAGAAGAAGACGTCGGTATGTTATTCATCCTATCCTACCCATCTCGCATCGTGCACCACTGACATGCGCTGACACGTCCTTCTAGAACCCCCTCATCGAGCGCCGCCCGCGCAACTACGGTATCGGCCAGGATGTACAACCCAAGCGCAATCTCTCCCGCATGGTCCGCTGGCCCGAGTACGTCCGTCTCCAACGCCAGCGCAAGATCTTGAACATGCGCCTCAAGGTCCCGCCAGCGATTGCCCAATTCGGCCAAACCCTCGACCGCAACTCCGCCGCCCAGCTGTTCAAATTCCTGAACAAGTACCGACCCGAGACCAAGGCTGATAAGAAGGAGCGTCTGCACGCCGAGGCTACGGCGGTGTCCGAGGGCAAGAAGAAGGAGGATGTGAGCAAGAAGCCGTTCACCGTCAAGTATGGTCTCAACCATGTCGTGGCTCTTATTGAGGCGAAGAAGACTGCGCTGGTGCTCATTCCTAACGATGTCGACCCCATTGAGCTCGTCACCTTCCTTCCCGCGTTGTGCAGGAAGATGGGTGTGCCGTATGCCATTGTGAAGGGTAAGGCGAGGTTGGGCACGGTTGTGCACAAGAAGGTATGTAACATGCCAAACCACAACGCCACATCTACATGCTAACATGGGTTGTTTGATAGACCGCCGCCGCTCTCGCCATCACCGAAGTCCGCGGCGAAGACAAGTCGGAGCTCAGCAAGCTCGTCCAGACGATCAAGGAGGGCTACATGGACAAGAACGAGGAGGCCAAGAGGCACTGGGGTGGTGGTATCATGGGTGCCAAGGCCAATGCCCGTGAGAGGAAGAAGAAGGAGCGTGCGGAGAGGGAGATCAAGATATAAGTGTCTGTCATGCTGCTCGGTGGCGTGTGATGGACTCTGCACTCTTGATGGTGCATGCAGAGAGCTGTGCCATGACATGCTGCGGTATGGCAGTGATGTCGTGATGTCGTATCTTACTTTAGCGCATCACAAGACTCTTAACACGTTCAACAACCCCGTCGTCTCACAAAACCCTTCACTAATATAGCCATGCTTCCATATAAATCCTCACGAAGTCTTCGAACGTTGTTGCGTGCCACTTTGATGGAGGACGCATGCACTTCTCTCAGATTTGAGGGAGCAGGCAGTGAGTGATGGGCTGACACAGACCCCGGCTCCCCTGAAGTGATTGACGGCGTGGGCGTGTGCTTCATGCTCGAAACACCACCCACACCGTGGACTTGAGGCCGAGTGTCGTTTCATGGAGTGAGTACGATGTGGGAATCGGTGGGGGGGTCGCAGGGTCCATGTCTGGAGCAGGTAGTGTGTTGTCGTAGCAGATTTCGAATGGCTGCGTGTTTGCCTACAACTCGCTGCGGATTGACCTGTTTCGATCGTGATGGGATTCCTCTTGATACATCAGGGTATCTGGTCGGTTCTCAGCTGTGTCGTGATCGGGATATCCATCCAGGGTTTGGGACTCTGTGTTCCATCAATCGGAGCTCGTCGTGGGATAGTTGGGATGCCTCAGGCAGACCCCTCCATCTTGTTATTGCGGCTTCGAGCCATTACCAAACTTGATTCCACCCCCCTCGTCCAATCACGAAAGGTTTGGATGTACAACACCACGTGCGAGGACAGCGTTAGGAAATGTGTTAAGTAGCTCCGTAGCGCTATCCCTATTATCGTCGATTCCCTGGAGTGTCCTCAGATCGTCCTCCCTTGGGGTTTTGACCAGATGGGACTTTGGGGATGGTCTTGAGGTCACGTCTACACATCCACGTGCGATGGACAACTTCGGGGAACTCTTCACTTGCTTTCTCATTCCATCCCGGTAATGTGGGTTTCTGAAATGTCCTCAGATCGTCCTCCCTCTGGGTTTCGGCCAGGTGGGAATTCTGGGGATGGTCGTAGTCTTGAGAGTGGAGGATGGGAGTTGTCTTCATCTTAGATGGATGAGGATAATAGATGTTCATGAGTCTGATAAATAGAACCGTCTCGCCGTCAGGTATTGTGAGAATTTGTATCGTCCAGCAAGGACAGTTTTTTTGGGTTAAGTCGTCTCTACGCTGAGTGATCGATCGTATCGACGATATTGAAGGAAGCAAACAACCAACCAGCCCGTCCTGACAATAACAAGTTCACCTCACCACATCCCAATTCACCTCAACATGACCCGGCAAACCCCATCCACCCTCCCGTCTCAACCCCTGAGTCCAGAAACCTCGCACCCGCGCCACCCCCTCTACCCCACCCCGTCTGGAATCAACGTGAGTCTCCATCCCACCTCGATCCCTTGGTACGACTGGCCTTCAATCCAAACTATGCTGGTCGAGTCCAATCTGATACGCCAACATCTCCGCGCCATCCAGGAGAACATCCAACTGGACCGCGAAAGACGGGAGCAAATCGAGCGATTTCGTCCGGAGCGTGAGCGGAGAGAGAGGGAGGCGAATTGTCAGCCTTTTGATCTCTTGCCGGAGGAGGAGATGAGGGAGTGGAGGGCTCAGGGGTTGGGTTTGAGTTCGAGTTCGGGATTGGGTTCTGGTTTCTGGATGGCTTGTGAGAGGGAGAGGATTGCAGTTGAGCAGGTCGCTTTCCGTCGTACTCCTGGGGCGCCTCGAAGACGTGGTCAAGACGAACAGGTGAAGTCCGGGCCTTCCCGTTGGCCGGCTTGGCTAAATTGGCAACAGCGCAGTCGGTCTGCTGTTCATCTTGGTGTCGGATCGTTCATCAACGGCCACTTTGTCCCGGGGCCTTCGGGATCAGATTCTGATACGATGCTCTGGGACGCTCCGGCTGCAGATGACTCGCCGTCGTCATCGTCGTCGTCGCTCGCGGCTTCGGACAGTGGTAATGAAGCTGATGACGAAGCTGAGGATGAAGCTGCTGCTGATGTTGATGCAGGTGCTTGGGACGCTTGTGAGCTTTGTGGGGTCACTGGGCGGTTTAATATCCAGACCCGTCATGGTCGGATTGCTTGTGTGAGGTGTGCGATGAGGGGGAGTGGATTGCCGAGAAGACGGTAGGAGGGTGGTAGGATCTGTTGGTGAGGTCTATGGGATCGGAGGGGCCGTGTGTATCTGGTTGGGTTTGCGCTGCTGTTGCAGGATAGATTGGTTGGGATGGAGTTTCATGGGTCGTGCTTGGTGGTGGAATTCCATTAGACTGCGAACATACCAAAGACTGTATGAAAACCAGACGCACTGTATACTTGCTTTGATCCATGGTTTCATGATCTAGAGGTACTCTCGAACCACCTTCTCGTTGAAGTAATGCCGTCGTGTGCTGCGCGGAATACTATTAATATATTAGTACCACGACTACAGCGATAGAAAGATAAGATGAAGGCACATACATTGCCGTTCGGTGTCATCAAGACCTTGCATGAATTCGCCTCCTGCACCGCCTCCCTGCTGAGTAGCACCGGAGTGCTGGGCTTTATCTGCTATCTCGAGGGCACGTAGTCGGAACGTCTATTGAAAGTGCTTCAAATTAGCATATTTCTTGCTGATATAACATCAGATACCTGAAGTCCGAATATTGTATCTCGTTTGCAAGGACGATACGAGCCACATAGACAGGAGATAGAGAGCGCGACAAGCACGACTGGCAAGCCAACACGAGAGAAAGAAAGGACGGCAAAAGAGGAAGCAAGACCAACCTCTACCAGCACACCAGCAACCTCCTCCTCCTCAAACAACTCCAACATCCGCTCCCCCAACCCATAAAACCACGTCGCCTGCGCCCGTAGATCCACACTCCCGGGGTCCGCTCGCAGGGCGTTCAACACCTTTTCGTTCAATGCGGCGGGCATGTCGAGGGTGGCGAGTGAATCGGATCCGGGGCCGGAGGGCTTGGACACGGCAAGCATTTCCGCCATCCAGATTGGGAGGTCGAGTTTTGTGTTCGGCGTGATGGGGGTGTGGTTGTTGAGGGGGGAGAGGGAAGGGATGGTGAGGTGGAAGGTGGTGGGGGATTTTTGGGAGGTGGTTAGGAGGGCGGTGGGGGAGTAGTATGTTGTCATTTTCTCTCACTCCTCCGAGGGTAGATACTTTTGGGAGTGTCCGGGGATGGCAATGGTGTGATCGTCTTGTGATGCGGTGGTTGTAATGCTCCGACTCCCGATAGTGGTTGGTGGTGGCGAGCTTTTGGACGCGCAGCGTGAGCGTGCCTGCCCCGGGCTTGCGCGTTGGGTGTTTGCCTAGACTGGTGGAGAGCTTCAATAGTGGATGGCTTCACTTGAGTTTCTTGATTACTTCTTTCACCGTGGAAACTGCCCTTCGTCCATCAGCGAATTCAACCACCAATCTTCGACCTCGTTGTCTCATATCATCACTGTCCACAGGAGAGGCAAGATCACTCGTGATTGTCGCGTGCCCCAAGCGCCGGAACATCCCCTCGCCGGGACATCCTCTCGCCGGAACATCCTCTCGCCGATCACCTGCAAGAGCTTCCCGCTGCGCTAGTTCTAGTCTGTTGCTGATGGATGGTTGATATGACACAACACTCTCCATCCACCCACCACCGTCGCCACGATCAACAGCTTACATACTCAGAAGCTCCATAGAGGACAGCAGAGCGGAGCGGTGGACTGAGTAGCTCAACAGATGATGGAATGACAGCTTGACGTCACTCATTCACATCCATAGCTCTCTCACACACAGTGTCGTGTGCCTGCTTACCAAACTGTCTTGCCACGAGGCAGTCACGTTTTCGCACCACAACACACACAACTCGAAGACACGTAATCGACATCGATGACCTGACGAGCACAGACTCGATCACACACCACCCAGCATGGCCATCGATGGCCCGCATCACGACCGCATCTCCGACTTGCTGCACACCCAGACCAACGGAGGCAGCCATGATGACTCCCGAGCGACCTCACCCGGCGGTCTCGGCACCCGAAGCATTGCGGGAGATGCAGACGATGCCACGGACGTCTCACGGCTGGGACGAACCCGACCGCGGGTCTTCCCCTACGCCAAATACCTCCCCTACGAAACCGAGTCGCAGGAGCAGAAAGAAGCAGACTTGGACGAGATGATCAAGCACTTGTACATCGCAGTCGCGTCAAGTGACTTCATGCCGGGCGCCGTGCATTGGACGAAGGAGATTCGAGGATGGATGAGCTTGAAGTTTGACCTGACGAAGAAGCAGAGAATCTCGTTGGTGAAGCTCTACTATAAGCTCTCGCTCGCCCCGGGTCTCGAGTACTCGGTCGCTGAGCGATTTGCTAGTATGTTCATGGTCCTCACCAAGCGCAAGCACTACCTTCGACCAGGCAAGGACCTGACGCTGGACTGGCGACCGCTGTACAAGGAGCTGAAGGTGTTTGTTCTGCCGTCTGAGAGCAGCACACAGAACACATACAGCAGCAAGAGGAACATTCGGACGTTGGCCAAGCTTTGCACGTTCGCACAGCTGTTCTTCGACCCAAAAGAGATCCCGGCTATGCTGGAGGAGTTTCTTCCGTACTACAGCATGTCTTTCTCTGAACAAGCATTTGTGGTGCTCGGCCTCCTCAACCTCATGCTGCCAACCGCGCCGCCACCGGAAGATGACGAGAAGCTGCAGCCGCAGTACTTCCTCCCAACATTCTTCCATTTATGGTCTACCATCAATAGGAGCATGATGGTCGACATGAAGATGCTCGATATCTTCTCAAGACAGGCCAGAGACTGTTTAGTAGCAGAGCATGTCCCCTTCAGTGCAACCGGCATCTTCACGGAAGAACAGTCCTCACTCATCTTCACAGCCGTACTACGTCTGCTAGAAATCCCAGTCGGACAGGCGACCACACCATACAGCGCGACTGTTGACGTCGGTGCAGGCAGCGCCATCCTCCTCGACCGCGACGCACGCAAACATCCCGTCTCACACAGCATAGCACGCTGGATCATCATGTCACTCTCCCCGCAATGCCTCTCCGCCTCCAACAATCGAAGCACCCTCCACCAACTCGAAGGGTTGATCCAAGGTGTAGAGACGTTCTTCCATCCGTCAAATTCCGGCGGCTGGACCAAGCCTCTAGCACAACTTGTCTACTACCTCGCCGACTTCTTCGTCATGCGCTGGAACCGAGAACAGACGGGCGAGTACGACGTCCCCGCCGACCGCAAACTCAACGATGAGGTGAAGAAGAGGTTTGTCCTCTGTCTGAGGGACGTGGTGTTCATGGGCATCTACGCCAAGAGCGGCACGGCGATGAATTACAGTCTTAGTACGCTGCAGAGCCTGGCGTACTTGGAGCCTAATCTCATCTTACCCGGAGCGCTCCAGCGCATCTACCCGGCTATGCAGGGACTAGTGGAAGTCCACCGCACCATCTCCTCCATCCGAGCACTGCAGATGCTTAGCAAGATCATTGCGAGGACGAAGGGGTATAGATGTCATCTGACTACTCTCCTCGGACTGGCTCTACCCGGTATCGACGCCAATGATCTGGACAAGACGATGCATAGTCTGGCTTTCGTACAGGCCGTCTGCTATAACATCCCCCTTGTTGACCTCACCAAAGTCTCGAAGAGGGAGCATAGTGATCTCAATGGCGATTTCGAGATGGTGGAGGCGAGCAGCCCGCCTGTCACGGAGTCTGCGGGCACGGGTCTGGCTGTTGAGTGGATTACTGGGCAAGTCACGAGGTTCGAGCAAGAGGGCCCAGCTATTGAGGTGGATTACATGACCGAGCTGTCTGAAGAGGACGAGGAGGCCATCTTGAAGTCCTCAACTGCTGGGTTTGCGGAGTTCATCATCTCGTTCATGGGGAGGGTGTTTACACTCCTGCAGAATCTACCGGATGCTGCGCGTGTCAAGAGCGGGAGTCCTGAGGAGAATGTGGTGAATACGCTGCCTGCCACCTTCTCCCCATTGCTGGCGAGTCTGAGCCCGGAACTCTACGATCTTGCTCTTGAACAGGTTGCCAAGTTCGCCTCGAATCATGTCGTTCACCAGGCTCGGGATGCGATGGCGTTTATCTGCAACACCCTTGTCAAGATTTGGCCGAAGAAAGCGCTGCACCGACTCCTCCCGGATTTGATCAGCAGTATCCGGACCGAGATCAGCGAGAATGGTGCTGGCTCTACCCGGACTACAGGCTCTGAAATCCTTCCCCGTGATCGGGCGCTGGTGTGGCATGTCTCCCTCCTAAGCATGTGCGTCGTGCATGTTGGCAAGGATGTCCTGGATTTCAAGGAGGAATTGTTCGACCTGGCCAATTTCATGCAGGATACTTGCAAGGGGATCCCGTTGGTGCATGTCAGTAATTTCGTGCATCATCTGCTTCTTAACCTTACGGTCACGTACACGATCGATTATTCCCTTTTCAATAAAGGGGACTTGGATCGCGGGCTCAGTGCTGTGAATTGGAGCGCTACGACTGATCCGGGGAGTTTGGAGGTGCTGTGGCATGTCCCCACGCAAGAGGAACTGGAATACGCGGTCCGGGTTGCTGAGGCACAGGGTGGACGCGCTTTGAAGGCCTTGAAGCAGTTGATTTCTGGGGATGCTAAGATTGCGCGGGATGGCGTGGGGAAGGATTGGTCGGATGAAGTCAGTCGGAATCTGGTTCTGCTGCGCTTGGTCATTTCGGGATTGTGTAGGTTGTTTCGATCCGATGACGGGACTGTTACGCCTTACACTTTCCTTGATACGGCTGGTGAGGGTGGGGAGGGCAGTCCGAAGGAATTGGAGGTCGATGTGCCCTCGGATGAGGACGACAGTGATGAAGCGACTGGTTTCAGCAATTCCGAGGATGAGAAGGTGAAGAGGGCGTTTCAGTATCCTACTGGATATCCGCTTGAGGTCGGCTCAGCACCTTATGATGCTGTGCATGAACTTCGCAAGACGGCGGGAGAGACGTTGCATGCTGTTCATGAATTTCTGGTCAAGCATCAGGAAGACGATGTGCCATGTTTCAATGCGCTTTACACGGCCTATCGGTCTTGGTTTGTCGATATCGGGATCGAAAGGAGCGCGCATGTGTTGGATCGGCTGACTCGACTCCTCTCCGCGGACATTCATCCTTTCAAGTTCTCAGGGACCAGGAAACAGTATCCACGGCCGCTATTGGTGAGACGGGCGAATCTGTATCATTTCCAGCGATTGAGGTTCAATGAACATCCCCGAGCAGCGTCGGATCTGGATAAGATACTGCTTCTGGATCTGGCTGCCAGTTCAACGAGCATCTACACCGATATCCGCCGCACCGCCCAATCCGCGGGCGAACAAGCCGTCAAATCTATCGTTGGCAGCAAACCTTTGATCATCCCACCGCTCCTCAACGCGCTTGAGGACGCCCTGAAGAAGAATGAGCACCCTCGCATCAAAGGCGCGGTGTTTAGTCTGCTCTTCGGCAGTCTGGCGAAGAGTGTGGGGCGGAATTGGAAGTTTGCGCCTAGGATGATTCGATTGTTCATTCGGGTCAGTGAAGCGGATAGGCCGAGTATTCAGAAGTTGGTGGCGAGTAGTAGTTTTACTATTCAGGATTTCACCAAGGCGATGGATCGGATGGTTATTCTGGATCAGGAGGTGCTGAGGGGGATTTGGCCTGAGCTTGATGATGGGGTGGAGGAGGTGCTCGGGGTGGGGAGGATGAAGACGGTGGCCAGGACGATCGAGGAGGCGGATTCGGGGGTCCCGGCTAAGAAGGAGAGGATTAGGAAAAGAAGGGTTGTGGTCGAGCAGGCGAAGAAGGAGCTGGCGAGGGAGCTGTTGAAGGAGGTGCAGACGAGTCATTGGAAGAAGGCGAGTCGGACGGCGGTTATGGTTATCGGGCTGGATTATCGGTTTGAGACGGTCGCGTCGGATGGGGTTGTTGAATTGATTACACGGGGGATTATCGACACGCATCCCGCGCTAAGGGCGCTGTATTCGACTAGTTTGAATGCGGTTTTTAGTCTTGCGCAGACGAGGGCGTTGGTCCAGCATCGGTACGAGAATTATCTGCTTGATGCGCAGTTTGATCCGGATGAGGTTACCATTCCGACGGAGAGGGAGGATGAGGGGTGGACGCAGAGGTACCTCGACGCTTTTGCAAAGCCGGAGACGGAGGCGTATATTGATAATGATTACCCTGGTTGGCTGGTCTGGAAGGATACGATGAAAGGTGCGCAGACGGGCCCGACGAACTTGGTGTATGATGAGGTGGAGATGAACGTTCGCCGGAAGATGGGCTCTTTCATTGATCGGCATTGGTTGTCGACGTACTTCGGGTATATGAAGCAGGAGCCGCGGGATCAGCATGCGGATCGTTTTAGGATTTCGAGTTCGATGATTGTGGCGTATGCGCTTGATCTCATGGCTGCGGGACTCACGGTTGCCAAGTGGCAGGATTTCAAGGATCTGACGCTCGCGGTGCATGGGGATGGGAGTGATAAGCATCAGCATCGGGCTATGGCGGAGATTATGGGCGCGATGTTGTCGAGTGCTGAGGATTTTGAGCAAGGTTTTCGGGAGGAGATTTGGGGGTTTGCGTTCCCGATTTTGAGGAGGATTATGGGGGACGGGTTGACGCCGGAGAATATTGGGTATTGGTCTACGCTTGTCACGCTGGTGGTGGGTGGGAAGGATCCGAGGAGGGCGTGGCCGTTGGTCGATTGGTTGGCCGGGTTCAGGCTCGATATGCAGAGTCATGCTGCTTTCAAGGAGAGCTCGAAGATCCAGCTTTTGCATTTGGTCATTGGGGCTGTGGGGTGGCATTTCCAGCTTGAGAAGCCGGTGGTCAAGGACTTTTTGGAGCATATTGATCATCCTTATAAGGGCGTGAGGGAGGTTATGGGCACGATGTTGGCCACGACTTTTAAGACGAGGTGGCATGAGTCGTATAAGGATGTTCCGACGTTGTTGCAGGCGCAGAGGGATGCGCAGGGAAGTGTCGGGACGAGACCGTACGTGCCTACCGAGGAGTACACGGAGATCATGACCGATGTCTTCGAGCGGCTCGAGAAGTGGCGACTGGAACGACCGGCTGGGATCCAGACACCTACGCCTTACACCCAAGCCAGCAAGACTGTCTTGCTATGGCTCGACACCACCCTCTCGTCCTATGACTGCACGGTCCTCGTGCCTTTCTTCCCGGGAAGTCTGATGACGCAATTACTGCATATGATGGACATCAAGGAGGATCCGGAATTGCAGGCGCTGGCTTACCACGTCTTCCGGCATCTTCCCAACATCCCTCACAACACCACCGAAGACGAGGCTTTCATTAAAGCGTTGATCAAGATTGGGAAGGAGAGCACTTCTTGGCATCAACGGTTGAGGGTCCTCATCAACATCCAAGTCATCTACTTCCGCCACCTCTTCTTGCTTTCGGCCGAGCAGGCTCAGGGGTTGTTGAGGTGCGTGAGGGATATGTTGCATGATGTGCAGCTTGAGGTTCGGCTGGGTGCCGCGGCGACGTTGTCGGGCATGGTGAGGTGTTCGCCGTTGGAGTTTCGGACGAAGAGTGTGGAGGAGCTGAAGAAGCATTTTACGAATCTTCTTGTTAAGAACCCGTTGCCGAAGAAGGCTCGGGCGGGCGTGGCGAAGGACGGGTCTGGGACTGCTACGCCGACTCCCGAGGGGAATAAATTGGTGCTTACTCGGCATGCGGCTGTGCTTGGCCTTGGGGCTCTGGTTCAGGCATTTCCCTACACTTCTCCGCCTCCGGCTTGGTTGCCTGGTGTCCTTGCTACCCTGGCTGGCAAGGCAGCGAGCGATCCAGGTACGGTGGGCAAGAGTGTCAAGAGTATTTTGAGTGATTTCAAGAAGACGAGGCAGGATACTTGGCATGTTGACATGAAGGTACGTTTTCTCCGACACAGTTGGACATGATTTGTCGCGTGATTGCTAACGTTCTTGCTTGCAGGTCTTCACGACGGAGCAGCTGGAGGACCTGGAGGGAGTGTTGTGGAAGAGTTATTTTGCTTAAATGTGACTTTGGAGCAGGCGTTTATCGCACAGATATCCCACGGAGAAAATGCTTTTCGTAAGGCAAAGCATTACGAGGCCCCAATTCTTTCTTAGTCGTTATACCCTGCCTATCAAGACGGTAGCGCGGACTTGTTCGGGGCTTACGGGCGCTGCCATTGTATAGTTGCTTTGACCGGCACTAGTGCCACTACAGAGTCATGTACGTGCGATACAATTTCAACCAAGTCACACCTGAATCGCTGCTATAAGTCTTAGGAGATCAGACGACAGGGGGGTACCTTCGCCATGCCCGTGTTTTGAAGATAAGACATACTGCCGAGTATAGGCCCCACGAGATAGTCATGTTCTAAGACAAGAGACCCACGATCGCAAGATCAAAGCGGGATTCATGGCGTCGCGTGGGAAATCACTGGGAACTCGATTTCTGAAAGGAGCCTTTGCTTCACTATCGATCTCCGACCTATGATCCCACCCAAAGAATGAGGTACAGCTTCGATTGTTCCAGCTATCATCCGCTTCTGACCCCCATGGCTCGAACTTGGTTCGTTCGAGAAGTCTTTGCTTCACTATCGATCTCCGACCTATGGTCCCACCTAAGGAGTGAGGTACAGCTTCGAATGCTCCAGCTATCATCCGCTTCTGGACCCCATGGCTCGACGTTGGTTCGTTCGAGAAGTCTTCGATGTGTCTGTCGACGTTTGCGCCAAGCGTCCGACCGTCACAACAGCTGCCGGGCCGCTGCCTTCCTGTCACCATTTCGCGCCCAGCGAGAGGGCAGAGGAGGGGTGGGACAGCCCACGGTATGACGTCCCGGGTTACGATGGCCCTTAATTGTCGCTGTCATTGCTGTTATCGTTGTCCCCATGGGACGGTCGAAGTCCAACCCCCAGTCCAACTCCAAGCGCGATCGCCACCACAGACAGTGCGAGCAGCCAGAGCAGAATCTTCTTCACCTTGGACAGGCGCGAATACCACGTATGCACCTTGTTACCCGCCTTGTAGCCCCGTTTGACGTGTGGGGCAGCGCGCTCGATGTCCATAGCTGGGTGTCTTGTGGCTGCTGCGTGGTTTTGGTTTTGGTTTTGGTTTGTATCTTCAATGGCAGACGGAGTGGAGTGTGTGTGGTTTGAGGCACAGATGTCCGCGCGGGAGGTGTCCTGGTTGGTGTAGATGAATCCGATGCCCCAACTGTGGATTCTAGTGCGGGAGAGAAGTCGAGCTTCTCAAATAAGGCCAACGGCCCTGTGGTTTGCAAAGCCCATGGCACCGAGAGCACAGCCTCAACCCTAGCGTGACGTCGATCTGCGGCTCTCCGCGGCGGCGCGCCGTGGTTGACCAGTAGGCGGCGCGTCTCAAAGACCTCGCCAAGGCCAACCACTCCGCTGCCAGGCCGTGCCACAAAGTATAATCACGTACTGCCCTGGTATCCTTGGCAGTCTTCCGGACCTTCCGTAGAATCTTTCAAGACGTGCTGTGTTGTTCGCATCTTGTAGTAGTAATACGCAAATTATACACGATAGTCCGTGAAAGTGGTCCGCTCAGGGAGATGGTTTGCTGCGGGGTTAGTAAGTTCATGGAGCGGATCCCGGGAGCGTTTGTCACACTACGTTACAAGGCCAACTATCCGGGAGGGATACGTATTTACTGGCGTGGTCGCGAAGTGCGCAAGACGGAGATATCAGGATCAGCAGAAAAGGCAACATGGACGGATAGAAGAAAAGTAACCGTACTACAGACAGTAGGGCGTTTGAATCTAGCTCTTCAACAAGAAAAGCAAAGACACTGATAGATGCCTTGTGTGCTTGCCGTTTATCTACGCACCTCTGCCTTGTACATTTCCACCGAACTTATGTCTTACATGAGCTGCGTGCACGTTAACCCCGTGGCTCCAAGTTTCGCTAATCGCGTTCAGCAACCAAGCGCCTTGCGAAGCTTTGGAGGCAACTTCAACGCGCAGACTGCTGCGGTGGCGGACGAGGTCCCTTTACCTTTCGAGGCCGGGGAGCCAGCGTTCGAAACGGTAGAGGAGCTTGATGTAGTAGAGGATGAAGACGACCCTCCCGAAGTGGACGAGGCTGACGATGAGGAGCTCCCGGCCGATGCAGAGGCTTCAGCAGATCCAGCGGAGGCAACAGCAGACGCAGCCGCCGCCGAAGGACTGGCGGATGCGGATGCCGAACTTGCAGCTGATGAGCTTGCGGAGCCACTAGTGAGGCATTGGCCGTCGACAGGCGCGAAGTCTGGGGCGCTTCTACACGCTTGTTAGCACGCGTTATTCGCACGAGATTTTCCGGGCGATAGCCAATGCCGGCGAGCCTTTCCAGCCTCGAGCGCATTGCGCCAGCTCCTAGCACGCTGTCGTCCGCGCGGTCTGGGGATGCTTGCTGGCCGATGGAGATGTCGGGGACTGGACAACTTACATGTCGATGCAAGGTGTGGCCGCATTGCAGCTTCCACTGCCGCGATTCCAGCAACCGCACGTACTGCCTACACACACCAAGCACGCGTCTGAGCATGAAATCGACACGGACCCGCCGGTGCAGACATTGATGCCGTTGGAGCAGCTATTGGCGGAGGCGAGGCTGGTGAGGGTGCTAAAAAGCAGAATGGTGGTCGGGATCGCAAAGGTTCGCATTTCCAATGTCTGGTGTCGTTGAGGCGCAGTCACGGGCAGAGTGTGAGGTCCGAAGATGATCAGATGCAGCAAGGTTGCAGAGCCTGGAAGAACGAGACTTGATGGCAAGAGTAAGGTCGAAGAAACGGGTTGGTCTTGTAAGACTCGGTCGCTCTGAGCGACACGACTGGATCGCGAATTGAGAGACGTATGAAGAAAGTGTGGAAGCTAGTATGGCGTCGATTTCTCGCCGGCTTGTACCACTACAGTATGCCAACGCCACTGAAACACTCCATGCCTTTGTTCCCGCAAGGTCCTGCTGAGATCCCGCTCTATCACTCCGCGGAGCAGACCCTTTCGGCGACAACAGCACGGCTGGCTCCATATGTGGTCGGCGAGTCGCTGATGAGGAGTGAGTTTGGCACTACGTCTACAGGTGTCTACACGGCTGAGATGTGCGTCCGCGGAGGTGAAAGCGGAACCTTGGCATCACGTGACACAACGGATCACCCCAGCATTGAGCGCGGCCGAAGCACCTCATCAGTCATGCCTACTAGTATTGCACGACAACCTAAGGGAACGCCAGCTTGTAGGCAGCGGCGTTGTGTTGCTCGACGGAGATGATCTGCTCGCCCCAACCCACTATCCGAGTAGCCATACTTCTAGTGACTGTTGCTCTAGCTATTATGCTTCCGACGACCACCGCTTTCCCCCTGCCCCTCGGATTCTCCCTCACTCCGAGTCGTACAGTCATTCTTGTCGGCCGTGAAACGATGCCGGATCCAGTCGCAGCATCGACCGCAACGGCGACAGCAGGAAGCCAATACGGCTATAACTATGCGGGTGCATATCCATCGGCGGGTAATAGTACGAGCGCCTCCGGGGCAATCTGTGGTACGCATCAAAGTAACATTCGGTATCTCATATTGCGCTCATATTCGCTCTCTCACACAGATGCGACCGAATGTGTGGCCGGCTCATATGCCTCGTCATCGGCTGGAACCTTTTACTCTGGTACAGAAGTCAACTCGTCCGGCAGTACAAGCCCAACAAGCGCAAGCACTAGCTATCCGAATTCTGGCTCCTCCTCTGGCTCTTCCAGCGGCGCAAAGTCAAGTTCCGTGCCCCCGAAACCAGCGCCTTCGAAAAAGCCGAAAGGGACCTAGAATGCGCGGTCTAGATGTGGCAGAGGCAGCCGATTTCTCATGACATGTCCACCAACATAGCCAATGTAGACTTAGCGCCTGCAATCTGTTCCCAGCTCATCAACCCTCGGACCCCCATAAGCGCGCTTCAGAGGGCATCATGCACAGCGCTGTTACGTGTGAACCTCGTCCTCACCGAGACGGAGAGGGTTAGTAAGGCCGGACGTCATCACGATATACTCGTAGTAGCCGCACCGCGTACGTGGCCCTGTACTGTGTACTGAGTGATACCCTCTAGCATTACATCGCATTCTGTACGGGTATGAGATGTTCACTCCAAGCCGACCTCTCAGGGATCCACATGATCGTTACAATCGTCAACGGCAGCATCAAATTCACAAATACAGCCTGTTCACCGCTGCTCATGATGAACGACGGCCTCCTCGTCCCTCCAAGCTTCGCGCCAAAGCGCCTCTTGACCCTCGTGTGCCCTTTGGTCTCGGTCAACTTACTGAAGATGTCTTCAAGACTCCGTCTGGCGTCCCGTCTGCGTTCTCGTTCGCCATCAAGATCGCACTATCTTTTCCCTCTGTTGCGGCCATTATCTTCCACTTCTGGACTTATGCTCCGGCCTTCTTATCCGATATGCTGGCTGCGCTGTGGCCTTGGTCCTGGAAGTCAGTGCTCTGGGCTACGCCGAATTGACAAGAAGGTGCCGGCCGAGATCGCTGGCCCTGCTCGTCGTCGATCTCCATGACTGGCGTTGACATGGCTACGTCTTCCTCCTCGCTGTGAGGAACGCTGGATACTGATGCCCTCTCACTCTGTTCTCCATTCCTTTGTGACCCGTATGACGGTCATTCAGTTTCTTCGACTAATCCTTCTGTACAACAGATGTGGTCTTCTCGTCAGTTTTACGGTAAGAATATATGTTGCGCCCAACCACTACTAGTAAGACACAAGGCTCCCCAATTGTATTTGCCCTCACCTTTGTCTCTGGCTATGACTGAAACCGTCACACTACAAACATGAGCCTCTTGTTCGTGGTGCGCGCAGGTAAAATCTGTGAGACATGCGTTATGTGCGACCTGTCGAATGTGTAAGTATAACGAGATTAGTCAGGTCTATATCGCCGAGAACGCCGCGCTCAAGATGTCCCAGCATAATATTCGCTCGAACGCTGCTAGAACCAAATATGCACCCAAACCGGGAATGCTTCTTCTCAGCACCATTGGTTAGCCCTCCAACCCATCTTCCCAGCCTCCAGTAACCTCGAGGAAAGCTCTCACCCTACCCTTACACTCCTCCAACCCCTCATCCAACGCCTCGCTCCACTGCCTCTCGACCTCTCCCACCTTGTCCTGCAAATCCGCAGTCAGTCTCGCTTCTGCCTCCCGCCTCGCACCAGCCAAATCTCCCTCTCCTCCCGCTCCACCACTCCCCTCAACCTCCAACAACCTCAGCGTACTCTTCGACGCCGCAGTCCTAACCTCATGCAACAGACACAGCAGATTGATCTGCCCCTCAATGAACTGATACGCACTCCTTCCAGCATGTCCAAGTAAAGTCCAGAGGTACTGGAGCGGGTACTCCACGTACCCTAGATTCTCCTCTAGCTCAGCATTAGGCACCATTACCTCGAAACCTTCCAATTCGATCGGTATCCTGGACGTGATCTCGAGAAGACCAGGTGCGATATCCCAGAATGCACTCAATTGATCTTCCACGCCTCGCGAGACATTATGTTCCATCACGCCCTGCAAGTCCTCAAATCGTGCCTGTGTCTCTTGGGCGAAGGTGAGGTGTCGCTGTCGGCTGTCCTTCGCGAAGAACGTCGTCGCTTCGTCGATTTTGGTCTGCAGTCGTTGGATCCGGTATGGGGTCAGGATTACTTCAGAGTACTGCTCGCTTCGTTCGGCGTGGAGGTCGAACATGTCTTTGTGCAGTTGTTCGCGGACTTCGAACAGCCATTTCAATAATGTCAGTGTCTCCAATCGCTCGGGCTGCTCGTCACCTTCCTCTTGGGCGCGGTTGGGGTCAGAGGTCTGGTTGCGTGAGTGGAGGTCGTTCTTGAGCTGTGCTATACAAGCGTCTGCTTTCGCGATACGCTCGCTGATCGTCGTGTTCAGAGGCTGAGCGACTTGCGTCTCGAAGCGATCAAAATTTGCTCTAGCGTTAGCCTTGCCACGTTCTGCTTCTTCTACGTCGAAGTCCTTTTCTGCTTGCGCGGCATCCCCAAAGGAGATCGTGCCATCTGCTATCTTGCCTTGGACGCTTGATCGCAGCTTTTGTCGTCTTTCCTTCGCAAGCTCTTTCTGCTGCTGTCGAATAGAGAAGTCACTGTCCAGGAATGCATCCTTAGTTGCTCGGTGGCCGGCATGGTCTGCTAGCGTCCGATGGTCGTTGCGTAGGGAGGTCAGCAGAGGATGGCTATTATTGATTGCCGGGTGATGTCGTGGGTACGGAGGTGGTAGCGTTATCAACCGAGAGATGTCCAGTGGATTGTTGGATGATGTAGATGACTTGCGCTCGGCGATGCGTGCAGGAGTCGCCATTGGTGTATCGAAGTCTACGCCTTCGTGCCAACCAGTCTTCTCTGGTGGATACTCACCTACGTCCGGTGGGAACGTAGCACTAGCACCAGGCGTCGCGGACTGCCTGCTCAAAGCTGGTGATAGCTCAGCATCGTTCTGCAATTCAGTTGCCTTGACGCCCATGTACTTCGTCTCCCGATGGCTGCGCTCGAGACGATCGGGTTTGCCGATACTGCCTGAGCCGGATCCGGACTGGCTCTGTTCCCACCAACGACTTGCTGTGCGTCCACGAGAACTCTCTTCGTCCGGTACTGTACTTTGTGCCATGCTAGGGATCGGAGATAGTGTTGGCTTGAAAGCTTCCGTCCACTGTCGTGACTCTGATCGGTCGAAGGCTTCTGCAACATCACCAATTGATGCTGCGTCTGTCGCAGGTGTAAAGTCGCCGAAAGATGACGCTGAGCTAGGCATGCCTTGGGCAGAAGAAGGCTGGCCGTCAGAAGCCCACGAGGGTGCTGTCGGGTCGAATGACGACATGGAAGTGCTCGGAGTGACAGCTCGTTTGCTGTCTCTGCCATACGGACGCCACATATCTCTTGTGAGGTCCAGAATATCGCCAGCCATAGCACCATAAGCTACCTGGTAACGATCTCGTCGTAGCCGTGATTCGTGAACCATAAAATTCGCGAAAAGCTCAAGACGTTCTTCATCTGAGGTCGCGAGTGACTCTTTCTCCACAAAAGCACGATGTCGTCCTAGCGCCTCCAATGCAAAGCTGTCTAGCCTTGTAGACGACTTCATAGAGGAGGCCGAAGGTGGCCGTGCTGGGCTCAGTGGCGCGGGCATCGCGCTCTCCTCGTTGGGCGTATGCAACAAATGTGACACAGGCCGTGCACTAGAAGCGGCGCGGGTACGCTCGGTCTCGCGTCGTGATGTCAGATCCTGCTTGACGGCTGGAGTATATGGTGGCGTCAAGACACTGCTGGGTATCTGAGGCTGACCAATGTTCGTGCCAGTATGCGATAGTTGTGCTTGCTGATTAGCCACAGCAGTAATGCTAGAGGAAACAGCCACGCCAGACACATTTCGCAAATGCTCACGTCTCAGGCTTATAGTACCTTCTGCCGGATGGAATGAGCTCTCGCTAGGCCTTGAGTCGTCACTCAATGGTGACATCAAATCCTCAGTCCTGTCTTTCGCCCTTCGGCTTAGGGAGCGACGCTCCTGTATGCCTTGGGCGCTCTTGTCTCTCCTTGCTGGTCTTCGTGTTATTGAGGTCTCCCGTCTAGTGCCGGTGTCAATCCTGAGCGGTTGATACTGAGGATCAGACTCAGTAGCAATAGCGTGACTACTAGACACCGGCTGCTGTGAGGGATTGGACAAAACGCCTTGGGTGTCTGTCCAGTCAGCAGGTGTCGGCGGCACAGGTCCGAGTGTTGACGCCGCAGCCCTTCTTCTCTGGAAAGATTCGGCATGGCTAGGAGTGTTAGACTGAACGGATTGTGTCGATGAACCTGTAGGGTAGCGATTCAGGCTTTGTGATCTCATGTTAGGTGGTGGTGGGCCCGGAGGTGGTCCAGGTAATGCGATCCCTTGCTGCCGGCTTGACTCTGGCGATGCACGGGCTGAGGAACTCATCTCTGCTGCTACGAAGACTGGATGGACAGCGGACTGTAAGTGCCCCGTGGATGCTGCTCGTCTAGCTGCAGGCGCATGAACTTCCACGAATGGTGCTCCTCCATAGAATGCTGGACTCAGTGGTGGCTCAGCAGTGACAGGCTGTTTACCTCGCAGTCCAGCAAGGAGAGCGCGTGGTCCTGCTAGGCCTGAAGTTGAGCGGTCTCGGAATCGTGAGGTGGACTGTCCAGGAGGAGGTGGGAATGCCGGAGACATTGGCATTTGAGGCGAGCTGCGTGCAGACTCGGACGGGAGTGGTGAAGCAGTGAAGCCCACACTCTCAAGCAACGGTGTTGATCCAGGTGCGATCCTGGAACCTCCAGGCGTTTCTGGTGAGTAAGGTGGCGGAGGTGACGGCATTGCCTCTGTAAAGCCACGCTGTCAGCTGACGTTGCGCTACTGGCAAGAAGGATCATCAGCATCCTCTGTTCGCAGTAAAATGTTACGTACCTTCCATCCCAGTCGCCTCTCGCGTGCTTCGAGTGCTACCAGTCCTTCCATAAACCATCTGCGACCCCGAAGCTTGCCTGCCCTGACCCCATTGCCTCGGATCATAGGGCTCCATTATTGGCGTCGTGCTTTGAGATCCTGCTGGCGTCAAGACATTAGTAGTCCTGAGGTTCAGAGCGATAGGCGTCGAAGGACTGAAGGGGAACGGAGTCCCGTTGCCACTCGACCCAGGCGTACGAGCAGCATCTAGATTGCCTTGAGATCTCAGTACATCAGTCAAGAGGGATGGAGGTTGAGCTGTCGCGGGCCGAACGCGTCTATGGGAGAAGAAGTCCACCGGCGCTTGACCAGCCGTGCGTGGCGTCGGGGGGGGAGGCGGCAGAGGAGCATTGTGTTGGCTCATCACGTTTGACCGCGAATCAGAGAGAGGTTAGAGCGGCAGCAGTCATCCAGGCGTTGATGGAGGGTGCGGCACGGCTGCGTAAAAGGATGCTTAGTCGTGATTTGGCAGTAGGATCTCCTCTTGGTATGGGAGTGAGGAGTGAGAGTGCTGTGAATCGCGTTGACTACGTTGGGCGCGCGAACCCTTGGGCCATTGTGCGTGTCAGTGTTCGTGACAAAGATTGTGCGACCGGCCCAATTCCTGCAGATGGACTGGATGGCGGTGCAAAAGGAAAGGTGAAGTCGTAAATGCGAGGTGAAGTCGAGACGCGATTGGCTGAACGCATCATGCATAGACCAAAGGTTGTTGGTGCTATCTTGAGAGTCAAAGCCCGGGCTTACCCACCATTACTCCATCGCATTCGTCGCATTTTGGAGTCATTCTGGCGAGGTGTGCAGGAAGAGCAGCCAGTCAGCATCGTGTTGGAACCGCCGAGATTATTGAATTCTGTGCTCGGCGTCCGGGCAACGGACCATCCCGCAGCCACATCACTTCGACTTTGTCTGTTATCACAAGCAGAATTAGCTCGCTGCAGGACAGCAACGTCCGCTCGCGACGACGGAATCTGCCAATATGAAAGCGGTGACACAGCCCGCGACTCATGTCCCTGGCCACCAACGCCTGTCGAACCGAGTCCCGTCGATCAGGGCTCTCTACCGCAGCACAATACAGGGAGCCAGCATCTCCTCTCGAGCATATCTGGCCATGCCGGCGGTATAGCGACGAGGATCCTCTGCTAGAGCCTTTCGCATGTCTTGCCTCATCCGCAGGGTCTGATGCGGGATTGACGGTCCGACGGCGATCAAGTTGCGAGTATGTTCTGACTTGGAAATGTTCAGAACATTTTCCGAGTCGTCACAGGCATTGTTGGCATGAATGTGATACTCTATGCATGCCATCATAAGCTTGTGACAGGTAAATGGTGTGCTGGAAACGCATTGACAGCATCGCCGGGCAAGTTTCATCGTCTCACTAGAATCACTAGGGGCTAATGTGCTTCCTGCTCTTCGTCTTGCTCAGACCTGATCGCTGACAAGCCAACGATTGAAGGTTATGCTTCACCATACGGTACTCGACATATTCACAAGATTGGCAAGGGTTACCGACCAACAGTTTTGGGAGGATTCGATGTTCCTACCTTCGCAAGCTAGTCGTGATATAGAGCACATACTGATGGCCGCAAAGACTCTCTTCATACTACTTACCTTCAAATGTAGCAGTGACTCTCTATGATAATCGAATTATTGTGTCGTGTATCTCCCTTCAAATTCCACAGTCATCACAATCCCAGGCATGGCTGGATGTTGGGCACGAGTCATGCAGTACAGTGCGCGAGTCATGCTAATTTATCAGCATGTGACAGCCAAAACACATCAGTTCTTCGCCTCCCTCATACTTCAGAATTGCCCGCGCCAACATGGCCGAGACTCTGAAGCGTAAGCATGAGGGTGCTCATGGGCCTCACAAAGCTCCCAAAATGGGCGCCGGCGCCGGCGGTGGTGGTGGCGGTGGCGGTGGGAAATTGTCCTTTGCGCAAAAAATGATGGCCAGGATGGGTTATAAAGAGGGTGGTGGCCTGGGTAAAGAGGGAGAGGGTATTGTAAATCCTATTGAGGTGAAGTTGAGACCGCAAGGAGCGGGTGTTGGAGCTGTAAAGGAAAGGACGGAGCAATATAAGGAGGAGCAGAGGAGGGCAGCAGAACGCAGAGGCGAGGCAGTGGAAGAAGATAGTAGTGAGGAGGAGAGACGGAAGAGGAAGGAGAGGAGGAGGAGGGGAGCTGGAGGGGGTGGTGGGGAAGGTGGTACTGGTGTTGGAGGAGCGAGGAAGCAGAAGGTCAAGTACAAGACCGTCGCGGACGTGGAGGCAGCTGCGCCTGGACTGGACGTGCCACCACAGATGCTGCAATCGCTGGTGGATGCGACGGGATCAACGACGAAGACGCTTACGGACTTTGCTGGGCTGATGAGACCTGCCAGTACGGCGGAAGATACGGAGGCTGAGAAGATTCGAAAGAGAGAACGTTTGGAGCTGGAGGCGTTCTTGGAGGCGTGGCATGGGATTCAGGAGCAGAAAGTTTACGTGGAGCAACATGAGGGACAGCATGCTGTAGAGCTTGAGCAGAGCGAGGAGGAATTGGCGAAATTGCGAGACGTCGTTGAAGCTGTGGAAGCTCTAAGGATTGATGGGTCAAGTAGTATAGATGGCGGAGCATGGACGAGCCTGATTGAACGACTTCAGAGATTACAGACCGATCATCGACATGATATCGAGAGGTATGGGCTGGTAGAAGCAGCTGTAGGCGCAATCCTGCCGCATTTTAGACAAGAAATGGCTGGATGGGATCCTCTCGAGGAGCCGACCTTGCTAGTGGAGGATCTGAAGCGTATACACACCATTCTCGGCATAGCGAATCAGGACGAAGTGGCAAATGTCACAGGTGCAGAAGCTCTAGATGAAGCTTACGGTCGGTCACGACGACAAAAATCCGCCACAGCTTATGAGAACCTGATCTACAGCATCTGGCTTCCAAAGCTTCGAACCGCCATCACGAACTGGGACGTGCTAGACCATGAGCCTCTCACGAATCTTGTGCAAGCATGGAGGCCACTTCTACCAGCCTTCGTTCTCAGCCACCTCATCGACCAAATGATCGTGCCGAAACTGCTAGCTGGCCTCCAAGCATGGGACCCTCGGAGACGACGACATCACCATACAAGCAAAACCGATCCAAACCAGACTCTCAAGTCCGCGTACCCGCATACGTATATCTTCCCCTGGCTCCCTTCCCTCCCGCCTTACCATCTCGATGCGAGCTCTACTTCAGGCGAAAGCTTGATGCTGGAAGTGAAACGTCGATTGCGACAGGTGTTCGACGGGTGGGATGTCTCCTCTGACAAGGCTTTGACGGGATTGACAGAATGGCGCGATCTACTGGGGGAGAAGGAATTCGATCATTTGCTTGTGCGACATCTTCTACCCCGACTATCACTCCATCTTGCGCAGAAGTTCGAGATCGACCCTTCGGATCAAGATCTCACACCTTTGGAACATGCTCTCAAGTATCTGGACCTGTTCACTCCACCCGTCTTTGCGAGATTGCTGGTGGCTGAGTTCTTCCCGAAGTGGTTGGCTACGCTACATCTCTGGCTCATGTCTCCCGAGGCGAACTTTGAAGAGGTCGGAGCTTGGTTCGTCTGGTGGAAGGAGCAGATACCAGACAGCATCTCGAAGCAAGCCGATGTGATGAAGGAGTGGGAGAAGGGCAGTATCATGATCAATGCCGCCCTCGATCTGCTTGAGCAAGGCGAGGATGTCTCCAAGTTACCTGCTCCGGCTGCTGGGCCAGCGAAACCCATCACCCTGACTTCGCAGACCAAGGCTTCCCTCGGCACGGCCAAGCAGCCAGCAAGGAGTCTGACGATGCCAGACGCTGTGGACTTCAAGTCTCTACTGGAAGACTGGTGCGCAGACGAGAATCTCATGATGTTGCCACTTCGCGAAGCACATTCTAGCACGGGCCTTCCGCTCTTCCGCATCACCGCGAGCGTGTCGGGGAAGGGAGGTGTAGTCGTCTACCTTAAAGGCGATGTAGTATGGGCGCAGAGGAAGGGGCAGAGGGAGGTCTGGGAGCCTGTGGGTCTCGGAGACAAGCTGGTTGAACGGGCCGAAGGAGGCTGAGATAGGAAGATTATTATATGGTACTTTGTAGATACCCGGCTGGCAATATGACAGTTTTAGGGGTACTTGCATACCTACTAGGGCAAGCTCTCTCTGTTTGCCATACTGATTGGTGGCATAACGCAATATTTGCTGACGAACGAATTTCGTGCTCGATAGCCGTGGAGGTCTGGCTTCTTACTCCTCTCCAGGACGGTGTCCTGTTGCTGCTTCTGCTTCATCACCCGCACGAGGCGATGGTGGATCACTATTCTGGTCGTCTCTTCTCGATGTTGTCCACTGGCCGTTGCAGCTGGTGGCGGCTAGTCGTGGAGGAATGGCTGGCAAGGCCGACCACGCCGAGTTATTGAGGCCAATCAATCGGTCTCCGGAACAGCCAGGGTCTTCAGGCTGTCTTTAGCATACTGCCCTATCCTCAATCCTCCTCCTCATCCTCTTTCTCCTTCTTCTTCTCATCGTCCTCGCCCTTCTTCCGTCGTGCTTTGCGAAGCTCTTTCATCACTTGCTCATCACCCTCGTCTTTCGTTTCATCCCATTCGACATCTACAGGATCGTCTAGCGTCAGCACAAGCACGACCGATCAGGAGAGCAGAAGGACAACTGACCATACTCATCCGCAACCATCTTCACCTCCCTCCTCAACCTATTCCCTTCCTCCACCAACCCTTCCCACTTGGCTACATCAAACCCCTTGGCCTCATAGAGCTGAGACTGCCGCCTCGAGATCGTAACGTTCATCGCACTCCTATAACTCACTTCCCGATTGTGATAAAGAAACCACATATACCCCCCAATCAACCCACTCAGCCCAACAAGATAAGTCACCGGCTCCATGACATCCCAGCCCAGATTCGTCTGGAAAGTGAGATAGTAAACTACACCCCACCAGCTTATCAGTCCTGCGAATCCGCCCTGAGCCACGCGTTTTGCTCCTCGTTGTGCCAGCTCGTCGCATTCGCCTTTCACGCTAGCGAGGTCTTTGATCCCTCGTGCTGTTTTGCGGAGTCGCATGCGGAGATAGTAAGTTCGGTCTGCGAAAGAAGGGACGCCAACGTAGATTGGTTCCGGGGCGCCTTCGATGTCGACGGCAAATTCCTTGCCCCGGGCTGCGTCGCGGATGAAGTCGCCAATTTCAGTGGAGGGGGACCAGCGGACGAAGTTGGGGTGTTCGGGATCGGGGTTGGGTGGTGCTTGGCCGGCTGCGGATTCCTTGTCTGGGTGGCCGTGGGCTGGGAGGGCGGCATCTTCTTCTTTGTTTGCTGCTTCGGAGCTGATTTTGCCGGTGCGCTCGGTCTTGTCACCGAAGCGTGTCTCTTCGACGTTCTCTAGATCGTAGTTCTCGCCGTCGTCTTCCTCCTCCTCTTTTACCTTGTCGGCTGCGGGCTTACCACTCCCTACGTCCTCTTCCGTGGCATCTTCAGCCCGGAACGTGATGCTCGGCGCTCGTTCCTTGTCCTTCTCATCCCGCATTGATGGAAGCTCACTCTGGATCAATCTCTCCAGATAGCTCAATGGCTGCTGAGGATGCACCAATAACGCAAGCGGCTCAACATCCTTCCGATCTTTGTTCGCGTCACGTGTGGTGAGTGGTAAGATCAACTTCAGCATCCGACTAGGCGTGGTCAACAGTTTCCCCTTGACCATAGCCCCGGCATTGCGATTCCGGGCCACAGGTGGTGTATCGCTGCCCTCGCGTAGCCATGGAGCACGGATTTGCCGTTCTTTGCTCTCGGCTTCCACTCGACCGTAGTGGTCCTTTTCCGCTTTGGTTACATTCTGGCTGAGATTGGCGGCGGATTGGTTGTGGGAACTGCCATCGAGGTTCTTGGATTGATTGTGGTTAGGCCGGGGTTGGACTCGGTGGAGTGCTGATAGGGAGAAGGGTCGCTTGCTGGTCACGCGACAATGGGTACATATCCATGGTGAGATTGTGCGAGACGGACGAGACAGATGGGTGAGTAGAGGCTCCATTGTCGCTACTACAGGTGTCACAGCATCGTTGTCGTAGGATAGAAAGAGGAGTACGAGTTTCTATCTATCGTGAGTATGCCCAGTCGCGTGCCAAAGAAGCAGAACCAGATCTTGGTATACAATTACACCTACGTCATGTGCCTAGCGCGTGGTGAAGTTGGAAAAGGAGATGAGACAGGACCACGTCGTCTGTCACTCGCTACATCGAGACAACCATCTCAATCATGCCATCTGTGGCAACGACTGATATGGGAAAGCTGATCTGCTTGTTGAGAACAGAGTTTGAAAGCTTTATAATGCACATGCTGGCGAGCTCCATCGCGTCATCCCTGCAACAATGCTGACTGAGCCACCGCCGCCTCCACCTCAACATGTGCTTTGGAGGCGATAGCTCTAGAAGGTCGATGAACCGCAAGTATTACTGAGCACAAAAGATAAGTGAACGCTATCCTTCCACCTACCGCATAGCCAGCTCTCCTCTCTCGACTTCACATTCCGTATCACATCACCAAGAACAATTCGTCCGCAGCAAACCTCCTGCTGGGTCAAAATGGTCCTCACCGTCCTCACCGACAGTGATGTGAACAAGATCCTGCACTCCTTCGACCGCGATGATATACTCGAGCTTCAAGCATCTCTGGCGGATGCACTTCACTGGTATAGCACAAGCAACGACGCCAACGACTGTTGCTCCGACTTTCAACCTGAACGGACAGTGCTGAAACGAAAAGATGGCTCGACTACTCTTTTCATGCCTGCAAGTGACATGACTGGGCAGGGCATCAAAGTCGTGAATGTCATCCCACCGGATGCATCTGGCTTGCCGAGTATGTCCGAGCTGGCGGAGAGCTTGAGCGACCAGAGCTCGACAGCAAGTCCACGAGCTAGTATCTCGACGACTAGCACGGGTGATAGTGTGATCAGTCCTTCGGGTACGGCGAGCTCGGCAGCCAGTATCAAGACGGCAAGCACAGGTCAAACATCCATCTCATCCAAGGCAGACGGAACAGCCTCATCCGGCAGTTCGACGATCCACGGCTCTCTCACCCTCCTGGATAGTCTAGGTCGTACGACAGGTCTCATCAACGCCGGCGAGTTGACCGCTTTCCGTACCGCTCTTGCCTCGACTATGCTCCTCAAGAAACGTCATTCCGTGCACGATGTTACCGTCTTCGGAGCCGGAAAACAAGCCTACTGGCATCTCCGCCTGGCAATGCTACTGCGCCCCGGTGAGATTCACCATGTGAACATGATCACTCGCAATTTCGATAGCGCACGAAGTTGTCTGATGAGGATATACAACCCGCAACCCGATGATCCAGAGTATGTGAATCCCGTGGGACACAAGTATAACAGTAAGACGAAGACGAATATCCTCACACCAGGCCATACGGAATACGAAAGACTACTCAAGGACTTCGTGAGGAGTAGTAATGTCATATTCTGCACTACACCTTCCAACACACCACTATTCCCGGCCACGTATCTCACCAATCCGGAAGGGAGGAAGAAGGGCCGCTACATTGCTTGTATCGGCTCCTACAAACCACATATGGTAGAGCTCCATCCAGATGTCCTCCGTGACGCCGTCGCACCTCATCACGAGCATAAACACCTTCATCGACGACAAAAAGAGGGCGGCGCAGTCATCGTCGATACCGTCTCCGGTTGCTTGAAGGAGGCAGGCGAAATCATTCAAGCTAAACTCTTGCCGGACCAGGTCGTTGAGCTAGGAGAACTGTTCATGTTGAAGCGGGAGGCGGAACGGCAGAAGGCGGCGCATGGGCATAAGGAAGATGTGAAGGGGTGTCAGTTTCAGGGGAACTCGGGGCTGATGGAGTGGTTGACGAAGGGGAATGTGATTTATAAGTCTGTGGGTTTGGGGTTGATGGATGTCGTTGTTGGCAGTGAGTTGGTTAGGATGGGGAGGGAGAGGGGGGTGGGGACTACGATTGAGGAGTTTTAGTCGGTTTGAGTAGCTTCTGTGTGTTGCTGTGACTATGAGGTGTTAGTCTTCACACATCCTGAGCCTCATCGGTGTGTGTGTACCTATCCAACATATCATGTTCACTGTGCACGGTCCAAATCACGATTTGGGTTCGGTTGACCTCGGATGAACTTTCTCCTCCGAAACTCTCCGAATCATGAACTTGCACCTCACAATGGCATCGGGTATGCGTATCTAGCGCTGCATTCTCATCTAGTCTGTAGTGGAGAGGTAGACATGAGCCATGTACATGATTATCGCCTACCTTGCTCGCACCGTGCTTGCTAATACAGCTCGTAGGATCCGCAAACGCCGGCGATAGTCTCCCTGGCCGCTGGCGGAGTCGCGGGTGCAGTCGAAGCATTCGCCACTTACCCTTTCGAATTCGCCAAGACGAGAGTTCAGCTTCGCGAGCAAAAGGGTGTCGCTACGCCTAAGAACCCGTTTAAGGTCGTCGCTCAGGTCTACCGGACTGAAGGTATCAAAGCGCTGTACAAGGGTTGCTCGACACTGGTCATTGGATCTGTAGGCAAAGATGGCATCAGGTTTCTGTCCTTCGATACTATCAAGAACTCTTTCAAGGATCCTGAAACTGGCACGCTGAGTCCGGTTAGGAACCTGGCGGCGGGGATGTGCTCAGGGGTTGTGGCGAGTCTGACGGCTGTGACGCCTACGGAGAGGATCAAAACGGCATTGATTGACGATGCGAGGAACGAAAAGCGGTTTCGGAGTATGACGCATTGTATTAAGACTATCATGGCTGAGGATGGGATTGGCGGTCTTTATCGCGGTCTGGCTGGCACTACCTTGAAACAGGCCGGCGCCACTGCCTTTCGTATGGGCACTTACAATATACTCAAGGACTACGAGCGTACTCGCGATATCCCACAGACGACCTTCACCAATTTCGCTAACGGATCTGTGGCGGGTATCGTTACGACATTGGCTACGCAACCCTTTGACACGATCAAGACTAGGTGCCAGAGTGCGAAAGGTGCTAGTACAGTCGAGGCTTTTCGAAGTATTGTTGCCGATTATGGGGTCACTGGATTCTGGAGGGGGACGACTATGAGGTTAGGACGGACGGTGTTCAGCGGTGGGATTCTTTTTACTACTTATGAGTGGGCGGCTGCGCTGATGATGCCGCTTGTCGTTGCGAGGAAGGAGAAGCTGAGGGAGTGAAGTAAGTATTTGGTGCGCAGAGTGTGTAGAATGCTTACAAACATCTAATCCTGTCTCAAGCGGCCCATGCTTCAGCCATATATCGTGCTCAGGGAGCGTCTGGTGCCATCAAGACTCCACATAGTTCGGAAATGTCCTCTGCTTTCGAGGCAGGAGCGGGAGTGGGGCAAAGCGGAGCGGAGCGGAGCGGAGCGGACTTGGTGCTGGTCCCGCTCCGCTTCACTTCGTGCCACTTCACTTCACTTCACTTCACCTCACCCTTACTTAGGCATATGTAGTACCTACGACATCTCTAGCGGCGCGTCACGATGCCGGTGCCACGACCAAAGTATGCCTGGGCGAGAAATTACCAGGCCTTGCATGTCGGGAAGCAGAACCTCCAGGAACATGGTGTCGCAACGGATGAGGCGCGTGCGTAAGTGAGCTGAACGGTAGACTGCCAAACATTATACTGACGGAGTACAGCTACAAGAAATGGCTTGTAGACTTTACGATACTAGTTCAACAGATCCGGACTTCCAAATTCAAGTCCATCCTTGCCGATGGCGCCTTTATCCAAAGCATAGATGGCCTGTATGAGGCGGTCACCGGAGATGAGCGCACCTCGAGGATGTCTGCACTGGAGTTACAAGCTGTAACGGACGCTAGCGATCTCAAACGGATCCGTGGAGAGCGACAACAACGCGCTGAAGAAGTTCTGGAGAAGACAGACCAGCTAGAAAAGGCTGCACGGCAGAGTCAGACTGATCTAAAAAAGATCGAAGACCTTCGACGAGATCGTGACCACCACCGCGAGACCCTGGCCAAGCTGCGTGCGGAGCTGGACTTGGCGAAAAAGGATATGGAGGCTGCGGGTAAACAGCACGAAACGGATCTTAGGCGGATAAAGCGGGCCTTTGCCGAGGATCGTGATGCAGATAGAGCATATCTGCGGACCAAGGACGACGAATTCGCTGCTCTGGAGGAGCGTTACGAGGCTGGGCAGGCGAGAATGGAGTCTGCGTATGCAGATCGAGATAAGATGGCGGACCTTGTGCAGGAGAAGGAGACGGAGCTTGAATCTGTCACCAAACTATCCATCGTGCATGCCAACGAGGCCAGAGCGGCCGAGGGCACGCGAGATCGTGCGCTGAAGCTTGTCCGTGAGACATGCCAACAAGCTTCTACTGATTTGGATAACGTTCGTGCGGCTTGCGAGACTGCTCGCGAGGAGGCTTTGCTGCAGCAGAAGCAGGCTGCACATGCCGTCTTTGAACCGCATGTCAAGGCTGCAGAACGACTTCGCAGAGAGAACACCACTCTCACCATCGAGAAGGCAGATGTGGTGGCTGAAGTGGCGAAGTTGACGGATGAGCTAGCGAAGCTGGTGGAGGAGAAGGATCAGCTGGCGAAGGCGAACGATGAGCTTGCGAAGGCGAATGTGGATTATGGAGAGGCCTTTGAAGCGTTGAGAGACAATGAAGCACGCCATACGGTGGCACTTCAGAAAGCTCGCGACGAGTTAGCGAAGACGCACGCACAGCTCAATGGTGTATCACAGCACGAGTTTCAGCTCACTTTGAAAATGGGCCGACGTGGGCGTGAGGTTCAAGCGGCCAAGCGGTACATCTCCTCCATGCAAGGAGATCTGGAAGCCAAGGAGAGAGAATATGATGTTGTCACAGCGGCACTCGAAAGATCACGCCAGTCAGTGGCAAGTGCCGGCCAGACAGTTGACGATCTTCGGCTCCGTATAGCGCGATATCAGAGCACCGACTGCGACCTGCGGCAATGCAACGAGTCTCAGCGCAAGGACATCATCAACAAGACGGCAGAGATGTCTCTGCTCCAGGTGGCCAACGACGGCTTCCAGGCCGAAGTTGTAGAAGCGAAGAGAACGACTCAAGAACTGCAGGTGTGTCTGTCGCAGGCACAGGAAGTCTCAGAGAGGGAGATGCAAGCCAAAGCAGGCTTTCAGCGGATGCACACACTGGAGCAGGAGAGGTGCAGAGGGTTACAGGAGAAGCTTGACAAAGCTGAAGGGACATGTAAGGAGTTGGAGACTAGTCTGAGTAGCGAGCAGGAGGCGTGTAGAGTCACAAGGAGTAGTCTTGACGAGGCTGAGAAAGGAAAGATTGGGATGCAAAAGAAGCTTGACGAGGTCAACCAGCAGTATATTGACTTGCAAGCGAGATTCGCGGGCGAGGAGGCGAAGTGCAGAGACATAGAGGAGGAGCTTGATGAGGTCAAGCAGAAGTGTGGCGATTTGCAAGCGAGGTTCGCGGGCGAGGAGGCGAAGTGCAAAGGCATGGAGGAGGAGCTCGATAAGGCTGGAAGGTTCAACGCAGAAGTACAGGAGAAGCTTGATGAGGTCAAGCAGAAGTGTGGCGATTTGCAAACGGGACTTGGAGACGAGCAGGAGAAGTGTGGAGGCATGAAGAAGGAGCTTAAAGAGGCTGAGAGAACGAAGGATGACATGCAGAAGAAGCTCGATGAGGTCAAGCAGAAGTGTAGTGGCTTTGAAAGCAGTCTAGCCGCAGAGGTAGCCATGCAGAAGGGTCTGCGGGAGAAGTTCGACATGGCGCAGAGCTCGAACAACAACTTGCAAAGGAGCCAGAGCCAAGCCGAACACAAGAGCAAAGGCTTACAGGAGAACCTTAACCAAGCCACGCAAAGCCACACGCGTCTGCGGAAGCAGTTCGAGGCTGAGATGCAGAAGAACGTCGACTTGCAGGACGCCCTCGACGCTGCGCATGAGGGGACTGGAACCTTGCAGCTACAGCTCGAGAAAACGGCGAAGCATAGCAAGAACCTGCAGAGCACTGTTGATAGTGCTGTAGCGAAGAACAGTGATCTCCAGAAGGATCTCCAGCGGGCTGTGGAGGGGAGGAATGCGTTGAGCTTGGACGTGGAGAAGATGAAAGGGCTGCAGCAGCAGCTGGATGCAGCAACCTCATCTACAAACCAGTTGATGCAAACCGTGGATCAGAATAAAGGCGCCCTCGCCACCGCGAACAAGCAGCTGAAGGAGCTGACGATAGAGAACGCGAATCTCGACCAGTGCCATGCCGAGTGGGAAGCGCTATTCGACGGGGAGCTGACCCACATTCAGCCATTCGTTAAGCGGATTCGTCCAGATGTCGAGCTCACTGTCCGTCCTGATCTGGAGCTCGTCTTCGCCGACGCGAATGAGTATATGAATAGGTTGGAGGATGCGAAGAAGGGGTTGCAGGAGGAAGTGGAGAAGTGGAAGCGGGCGATGATGGATACTCGCTCCGCGATCATGATTCGTGAGATGGTTGCGCGAGAGGAATCATGCAGAGGGGTGGCAAAGGTTGCGACGCAGTGGTTGAGTGAGGGTAGAATGCTGCGCAAGCATGCCAGAAGCGGTTCGCAAGACGAGCTTCGAGGGGAGCGCAGACACAATACGCTGCGTCTGACGGACGAGTAGTAGAACGATGCGCGTCCACCTACACGGCGCGTGTATGCGCTGCGGTGTGTTTCTAAGGCAAGAGCGAGGTGGGCTTGGCGCGTAGTCTAGACTTCACCTCAATCCCACTCCACCTTGTCCGACTCCACTTCGCCTTCATCTACCACGGCACATGCTCAATACCAACACTTATCACAGAAGCCATCGACTACACACCACTCTCGTCCTAGTCCGGACAACTGTCTCATGGCGACCAGCAGCCATGCTACCGACGCCGCGCAGGCACAGGCACCTCCCATCGACGACTCGGATCCCATTGCCATTTATGTATCGTTGATGGTGCAAGTGGAGCGATAGCAAGTTATTGACAATGAGGTAGCATGATGAATAGTCTGACGGCACAGGGCCTTCTTCCGGAGCACTCAGTATCGGAAGACCTCTTCGCCAACGCATATCGAACCAGTCGTGGCCAGATCAGTATATTGGAAAGATTCAACGCTACCTACGCGAACGTCCAGCACATCCACGATCAAATCGAGGATCTCAAGCGCAATGGCGCTTTGTTGCAGTCACAGCTTACGGCAAAGAACGAACACATTGCGCGACTTCAAGGCGAGGTTGACCGACTACAACGCTCTATCGACGACCAGACCAAGGAGCTTAAGCGGAATGCATCGAGGACTGCCAAGCTCGATACTAAGATACAAACCCTACAGCAGCAACTCACCGCGAGCAAGGCCACGATCAAGCGGCTAGAGCAACAGGCTAATGCCTCTACTTCAAAGCAATCCGGCCAAACATACAACCACCAGGATGATGAGCACTCTAGACCCGGTCCGAACGAGCAAGACAACACCGGAGAGCCGCCGTACAACTAGCATCACCAACAGTGCGACGTTCTGGGTGCCTGGAGCGGCTCGTCTCCAAGCATGCAAGACATGGACGAAGAACAATCGCGTGTGCCTAGTGCGTCACAGCGATAGCTTCGTAGTGCTTCCCCTATCCGCGGCTTTACTTCAAGATAGCAAGTTGGACCGTGAAGACGTAACGCACTACACCCGCACGGAGCCGATCACTAGCCGCACACTCAGGCTCTGGAGCACTACGCCGGCGAAGGCGCAGGATGTCTAACGGATCAGTATAAGAAAGTGGCAGCACGAGCAGTGTCTGTCGTAATAACAGCGTTGCCGATATCCCCGCTGAGCGCATAGGGATTTAGCAGCTGTGGTACCTTTTAGCTTGTTTTACATCAACCTACGCTATTGAGAGTAGTGTACCGTTCTATCCAAAGGCCGCAGCACATCCCAAAAGTAGTTTGAATCTCAGCCAACGCCTCATATATGATCGCCTTTAATACTAGCGCCGCATGAACTTATCGATATAGTCTTCTAACGAACACACACTTCCTATTACGAAATACTGACTACTCGGGACAACTGCTCGATAGCTGTCATGCTCATCTAGATTGATCTTCCATAAACGTAAAGTGGTATCAACTAGAGTACATATCCCTTTGACCTATACCCACCCGCTGGATGCAATAGCAATGACATCCGACCAGCGCACGGCCAAGACAGGACAGCAAGATATCCTCAGTCTACAAGAGTGATGATTGGAAGAGTGCGTACTTGTACCAACATCAGACTGCCTTTTGACGCAAGAGCCTGGTGAATGCGGCACTCATTTGCTCAATTGTATAGCTCGATCACGGCTGAGACTGTAGAACCATTTCCCTATTGGCAGTCCATTTATTGATACTTTAGATATCCCAGATCTTACGCATGCATCTCCCTCGGCCTCACTACGACCAAGCTTGGAAACACAAGCGACAGTGACAATCCTGATCTTGAAATAAACTCGGGCACAAAAGTATCAAGCTCGGCGTAAGATCTGCCGGAGGCTGCATATTAGAAGGAATCCATCCGCTGTATTCACTCTCAGTCTCCTTGGTCTGGTTCGCCAAGATTGCAAGTCCCACACGAAAGCAGACTCATCAAACATTTCATGCTGTGGGAGGGAACTCCTGATCTGCTTGGAGATTCTACTTGAGGTACGTAGCTAACGTACTAAATTAGCATCGATACAGCAGCTCGAGATCATCTCGATACGTACCATTCTTCCTCGCCGCCTCCCAGCTCCGAACCTGCACATTCCGTCTGATGTTGTTAGCGTTAATATAGCATGCCTCGTCCTCTTCATGGATCACGAGCTTCACGACGATGGCTATTCTATCTGTCTTCAATGCGACATGGACTTGCTTTTTCTGGATCTATCCGCTTGGTGCTAGTCGCCGTACTATAGACGTCTACATCTCTCCTGATGCTCAGTTCTTGCTTCTACGGCCGGTCGAGTATGCTTGGCGAGGTCTAGGACATCTCCACAATGAGCAACAGAGACATCTCGACCCTTTCTGGCCCCATTACGTTGTACGTGGTCACTACACCGATGAGTCTTACCCATCTCCGCCGTGTTGAGTGTAGCCGAAAAACCCAGACATCTGAGAGCCTCGGGATGCTGGTACTGTGGATTCGACCCGTCCTCGGCGTTTGCCAAGTCACCGTAAATGCTCTTTCGTGAAGTCTCTCTTCGATTACTGCATACGGAAAACCAAGAGGTCGATCTGGAGTCTCCTCATCGCCTTAGACCTTGACGCCTTCATCTGAGGTGCAACGTTCAACCTCCATGGCAAAAGCGAGGATTGCCGATCTGTAAGTTTCATCAACCTCCAGAAAAGAGCAAATACGGCAAACAACACCGCTACAAGAAAATACACTTCCAAGTACCCATGGTTGTTGTCCATTACTGTCACATGAGTCTCAAGAAAGATCCATTGGACATTCGAGAGCGTCCGGCATGCCAAGTGCATCGAAACACTTAGCGACAATCCGGCCCACTCGATCGCTTCCAGGTACTGCATGCCGTTGAGTCACGGACATACCTGGCATGAGTGTGTATACACCACGACCATGGGCCACAGACTAGCAGCCACATGACCAAGCTCGACCAACGAGCGATCTGCCGAATCCATGTACCATCACTTCCATTCCCAGCCGCAGAACAACCACATGGAAACAACCAGGCGACTTCGATGCTCATGCCAGGGGCAGACTGCAGTTGCAAGCGTATCTTGGCCATCGGTTCACGCACTGCGCTTGTCGTTAGTCATTGCACGAAACATCTTTCTGCATTCTTGCCTAAAGGACTACATTGCTCGCAGCCACTCACTATCCTTTGCGACACACCTTGCCAAGTACATAGCTCAAGTGGCATATTCCGCGGTTGACATTGGCATTGCCGGGAACGACTCGACATTGTAGCAGGTTGTTAAAGGTTATCGTGGTTTGCAGCAACCTCGGTATGGCAGTCTTACCGTGAGCGCTGGCGAATACAAGTATCTGCCTTATTCCTCCTCAGTGGGAGAATCAATCGCAGCATATCCTTCAGGACGATTATCCCATTCACACATTCGCTTTTCAGACTATCACATCTCAAAACAAACCCGAACATCCACCATGCACGTATCTACCTTTCTTGCTACGGGCGCGGCACTCACTGCCTCCGCAGCTGCCCTGCCAGCAGAACTTGACACTCGCCAGAACAGCTGCTCTGCCTACAGTGAGTCCAAGCCAAGCTACTTATAAATCATCGGCTAATATCATGTCCAGCCATCATCAACACTCGCGGCACTGGCGAAGCCCAGGGACCATCTTCAGGCTTCCGGACCATGAACTCCAAAATCCAGCGCGAAGTCTCTGGTGGTACCATTGTAAGACCTTTGATATGCATTCATAAATCTAGATACTGACTTGATCACCCAGTACAACACCGTCTATGTAGCCGGCGCCAGCCAGAACTCTGCCGCTGGCTCTCGTGATATCATCAACCAGATCAACACAATCCTCGGCCGCAACCCGAATGCTTGTATCGTGCTGGAAGGATATTCGCAGGGTGCCGCTGCCACGACCAATGCCCTTCCAGATATCACCGGATCTGCCTTCAATGTCGTCAAGGCTGTGTTCTTGATCGGCAACCCTCTCCACCAGAGCGGTCTTGGATGCAACGTGGACCAGAACGGAGGCACTACTACACGAAACGTCCGTGGCATTTCTGCCGGTCTTGGTGGGCGGATTCCGGAGAACTGGGTTAGCAAGACGCTTGACGTCTGCAATTTCGTAAGCTGGGTCGATATACTTCCTGTGCACGGACATGACTGACTCGTATCTCAGGGCGACGGTGTCTGCGATACGACCAACGGACGTGGCATCAATTCTGCGCATCTCGCCTACCCTCGCCTTAGCAGCGTCCAGGATCTTGGCACCGATTTTGTTGTTGGCGCATTGCAACGTGGTACTGCTGGTGGCTCGACTGGCGGTACACCTGTGCCGGCACAGTGCCCTTACAAGTACTTGACTTACCTGTGTCCGTACTGGGAGGCGAGACAGTAAGTACGGAGGCCCGAGGATGGATGACGGTGGATTGACAGATGTGAATGAGGTGAACAGTAAAGGATGTGATCTGCATGTGATTAGAAAAAGGTTGTTTGGTTTAGATTGGCTAATGATTCGTGGAATCAATCGCTCGTTTCAATATAACGACTGGTCGTCTCGCCTGTGGACTATAGGCCGCAGCTGGCATCGTTCGCTGGACGCTATCGTAGTTGTAAGTTATGCATTCTCAGGTCGTGGAGAGCAAGCCAGGCAATCGATATCACGGGTCCGCGCAGAGATTGATGTTGACAAGTATGATCTTCAAGCTGGATCTGCGACCCAGTATGGTACTTCGCCGGACCGTAAGTATCGCATGATGAGTATGGCACGTGAGCAGCAATGAAATTTGTAAGAGTCATACTGCATACGGTACAGTGAGTCTCATCTCGCTACTCTGAGCTGTGCCGCGCCTACTCACATGCGCCCACTAGACCACTCTTTCCATCCTTCAATCCATCGATCAACCAGTCGGCGAACCACAGGTGAATGGCGTCAATCTACCCTCCTCAAAGTTGCGATGCATACTGATGACGCTCGAGTAGATACCAAGCCCAGCAACACTAAGCGCAGCCAAGAAGTAAAGCGTATCGAAGATGTTGAAGTGCCACTGTACGAGATAACCACGCATCCATCGCTTGAAGCCCGAGTCAAGCCTGATGACTTCTCCAGTTCTCGGGTCGAAGCCTTCACTCTCTGGTCGAATGGCGTCTTTCTTGGTGTTGAATGCGACTCGGAGGATGGGCGGGAAGGTGTAGCTGAACTGCAAGATCGTAGCCGCACCCACGAAAGCGCCTAGATTGCTGACCTGAGGAACAGCAGCGGCGATGACGAACGCTGCACCCCAGTAGACAGGTACAAGTCCAACCCAGATCCATTTCCCGAGTTTCTTGTCGAGGGCTGGAAGATGAAAGATGTCTCGGAAGACGGCCGAGTACAGCACCTTCACGCCAATATTGCCATATAGCACAGCAGCGATGAGCCCACTGATGAGACTGACAGCATTGCCAAGAGTCTGCCATTGGTATGCTGAATTTGGGATGCCTTGGTAGGCTGGGTTGAAAGCATACTGTCCTTGCGCAGCGTACACTACCATTCCTGTAAATCAAAGGTTGATTAGCAGGTAGTTCAGACAGCACTATGGATCTTGGCGCCATAACGACTTACCCATTGTGATGTAAACACCAATGATGAACACCTCAGCGAATATGAGGGACTTCCAGAAGTCATGCGGGCGGCGCATCTCGGCCATCAGCTCATTGAACAGCGTTGCACCACCATAAGAATAAACGCCTTGCATGAGACCATTGATGTGGTTCCTCAGAGTCAATCCTGGAGGCCAGTTGGTGTACGTGTGGACTGGTTGGTTCGGCTCCGTGCCGTAGGAAGCGAACGAGGCGTCGTAATTCGGCTCATATTTGTTGGTAACAACCATGCTAAATCGCCTGTCAGGACAGGGCACAATAGTAAGAGAGAAAATGAGCTTACGTCATGATAATGACAATCACGTTCAACCAGACGGCAAGATTGGCTAGAAAGCTCAGTCGTTGCAGTGTTCGAATTTGACCCAAGAAGAAGCCGACCAGCATGATAACGAGCTCAGCAACCACGAAGCAGATGAAGCCTGTGCCGTTCGCACCAGCAGCCATTTGCTGCAGGCCTTGGCCATTACCAACAATTAGCAGAGCAACGTTCATAAAGAACTGGAAGGACTGCAGAACGTTGACGCCGACCCTGGCCCAGTTACCGTACAGACGGAAAGCCAGATCTCCGTAGTTGCGAAGTGGATATTTGGTCGAATCAAGTCCCAGGAACATCTGGTAGAGTTGTGCTCCGCTATAGCAAGCGAGTACGCCGAAGCTGACGTACAAACCGGTGCCTGGTCCGTAGCCCATCTGCGAGATGGCCCAAGGCACGCTGTAAGGTCCGAGAATATCAGTAGTGATGAGGTAGAAGACTGAACCCCATGTTGCTGTCCTGACCGCGCGCTGTGCATTGTAGTACTCATCAGGCGTTACACCATATTGATCATGAGCGGAGCTCACAGTGCTTGCAGCGGGATCGACGTGCGGCGCCTTCTCGTTGATGCCGTGATCACTGGCGGGCGTAGTGCCGTCCTTGGAGTCATGAGATGGCGAGGGACTGATGCCGACATCGACTTTCTGCTGCTTCTTGCCCAGGAAGATGTTCAGCAGGCCTCCAGCACCGCCTATGTTTGGCAAGGTCTTCTCATACTCGCGAGACTTCTTGGCGTAGTAGTGGTACTCCTCGAACATGATGCTGCTGTCCGTGTACATCAGACTGCCTCTGCGCTGGGTTGATGGGTCTGGCATTTGTCCATCATGGGCTTCGTGAGAGGTACCGATCACATCAGCCTGGTTAGCGGATCTTGGATCAGCAACGCCACCAATGTTTGCGAAGGTGGTAGTCATGATGCCGAGTAGCCCTCTGTGTTGTGCCAGAAAGACAGACGGCCAGTAGGTAGGGAAAAGAGTGAAAGTAGCTGAGCACAAGAGCACTCTGTGACCATATGCGCCAGGTCACCTAAATATACTTACAGCCAAGCTCGCTACCCTACCGTGCTCGCGAACAAACGCGCTGATAAGGTATCATCAGTAGCGACTATCAAAACGATCAGTAGTAGTATATCCCTCAACCGGCGCACGCGAGCAAGATCGCGTTACATTCGATGCACAACTAGAGTTGACAGATGGGGTATCATCACCGTTATCACCAGCAAGACAGTGTGGAGGAGGTCTTGGAAGCTTGGCTTTCTAGCTCAACCTGGCAGGTGGTTGAAGATACGACCTTGGCGGTGATGCACGGCAGGAATACAAGCACATCAAGATTTGCCAGAGAGGCACGAGGCATTCGCATATCGAGACGGTCACCTCTGTTCCGTGGGAGCTGTGCAGGTCCTCATCGTATCGGCAGCAAGCTAGCTGATAGCCTGTCGGTGACAGTCATCTTCTCATTACTCGTGGAAGGACAATGTCAGATCTTGAAGATGATGACTTCGCAAGCGACTCAATGTCCGGCTTGTCTTCCAGATGTACAAAGCTAAGCATTTGGCTGTGAGCTTCGAATTGGTCGATGATGGCCATCTTGCACAAATAATGTCATCATCAGAGATTGGATGTTGGCCAAGGACGCAGCCAAGACGGAAGATAAGGCGTTTGTGGCGCCGCCTGTCCATTTCATGGTTGTGATTCGATGATGGATGTTACAATCGCGAGGACCATGGAAAAATTCGTCGTGCGAAAAAGTGCGGATTTGGGAGGGACAGAAGGTAGTCATCAAGACTGTATATAGACCGAGAAGGAGATGAGGTTGAAGAAGGACGAAGAGGAAGTATTAAGGCCGTTCCTTCTCAAGGCGCTTGCCAAGAAAGGCATGGTGAACTCCGAGGGCAAGCGGTGTCGCTGTTCGGAGTCCTTTGCGGACACTTGCGAATACGAGGTCAACGATGCTATGCTTCTAGTCTTGCGAATAGTCATACATCCACAAGCACGTCGTAAAGCTTCTTGTCTACTGCACGCAAGCTGGCATACCCTCCATCGCTGTCTCGGTAAGTAGCAACGCACGAAATGTGGTCTTTCGTAACGAATGGCACGACGACCTAGAAAGTAGTCGTAGCCGTGCAGATTACTGTATAGCCGCCTCTGAATCATGCGAAGATGCCGTGTCAGTCTTCGTGTTCGACGGAAGCCTGCTGAACTTTCTACCTGGGAACTCCTTCTTCTGCTGCAACTGGATACGGAGACGAGAGTACATACTTCGGCCAGGATTGCCAGACAATCATGGCAGCGACCGTCGATCCACTCTGCTTCCTGCATCGCTTCATCCCTCACACACATGGAGTGCATGCTGGCTACGCTGCTACGAAGGTCTGCGGGACTCGCCAGAAGAAAATACCCTTGGAACGACATACCGCAGTCCAGGAAGCTCAAGCCTGATCTAATGCATGTCTTCTGCTTGAGTGATGGAGATCGTCGACTTGCCGTTCAGGTCTCCGCCTACAGCCACCAGTGCTCTGCCCAAACTTCCCAAGAAGAAGGAGTTTCCGGCTCTTACACATGACACAGGGGCAGTCTAGGTCTCAGGTTGATTACGAGCATGAGCCTGCCAAGCTGCATCAGGAGGGTTTCTTTTGATGGCACTCGCCAGACAGGAACACCAAGTACTTCTGCGCGCATGCGAAGATTTCTACCAGCAGTGCAGGTAGAGACTGTAAGTCCAGTATGGGTCTTGTTATGAATGCCACACGCAGCATCTTCCCCAGCGTGCTGTCGCAGCGGTGACTCTTTCTACGAGACTCAGGCGAAGAAGGACTTCCCAGATGCTTATCTCTTTAGCAAACTGGCGTTGCAGGGTACATTGCCGAGTGTCTAGCGAATGCCCAAGTCTCTACAACCACACGCACGCTTCTACTCGATCACGCAATACACCAGAGATCGCACCCCACATGCAGCCATTCGGCAGACACTCGGAATAATGAGAATATATCTTCACCTTTGCAACGCTGTTCATGCTCGCAAGCGTCGCCTACTTCGCTGCCATCCCGAAAGCAGATATTAGAGCAGGCAAGACGATTGCCGCTGGTCTTCTCTTCACCCGTGTCTTTGGCGGCCACAAGGCAGTCCGTGGTTTGAACTTTCTGATCGCGCTCAGCTCGTTCGGCAACCTCGTGGCAGTCTTTCTGGGTACATCGCGATTGATTCGTGAGTGTGGTCGTCAAGGCATACTACCATGGCCAAAGTTCTGGGTATCGACGAAGCCATTTGGGACTCCTCTGGGCCCCTACCTGGTGAAGTGGGTGCTTACGATTATCCCGATCCTAGCACCTCGCGCGGGCGATGCGTTCAACTTCACAACAGACTTGCAGGTCTATCCGTCTTCGATTCCCAACCTCCTAATGACCATCGACATCTTCGTCGTCCGATCGAATCACAAGCGACTGGGTCTTCCCGAACCGCAATTCAAAGCTTGGCTGCCGGTCTTGGTTTTCAGTGTCTTCGTAAAGTTATACTTGATCATCATGCCATGGTATCCGCCAGCCAAGGGAAAGTACGGTGGAGATGTTAGCTTCTGGTACGGAACCTACATTGTCACCAGCATCGGCATCTTAATCCTGTGCGGCATATACTACCTCATTTATATCGAGGTGTTGCCAAGGATCGGCAGGTACAGGATGCGGTACGAGCTAGTGACACTAGGTAGTGGTGCGGAGGCTCACACACCAGTAAAGGTTCCTCTCAACGAACTGGACGAGTGGGACGGAAGACACGATGCCACTGGTGCAAACTTGCGCGACTTTGGTAGCGAAACCGAAAAGGTAGCCGATGAGACATTCGAGAAGACCAAGCAGTAGTGTCTCGTTCGTATCCTGTGAGTGCGGGCGCTGCACACATGCTCGATCTGATATGTTGCAAGGGTCAGGCTGCTAGGTGTGATGTTTGCATATAGCTGGTTGGGTATACTTCGTCTGAATGGCCAAGAAGGAGTGCTCCTAAGCATCCAGCTAGCTGTATTGATACAAGTGCTCAGCACTTCTGCGTCACCGATCCCGACTGGAACACCCAGAAATGTCTGCTTGAAGCGTCAGCCGGTGTTTCAAGTGGTACGAGATACCATTGAGATAGCTTTGTCTCAATGAGACTGCGATCTGTGGATTAGGATTGAGTGAGGGCTGATTAAGTAAGGGCTGATAGCCACTCATCTTGTCTCCTGGCGATAGATCTCAAGACGTAACGGAATCCGTATACGTCCGTATTCATCAGCTTCCATCCAAACCTCATCTCGTATGAGCATCAATTGTGTGCCCGCAGCTTCCGCACACACTCAGCAACACCGGGGTACGTCCAAGTATACAAATTATGCTTGTACAAATCCTCCGCACTTTCCCGTGCTCGTGATTCCCGGGTGATGTTCTGGATCTTTGATGCCCTGGTTCTTCGGACTGTGTCAAACAATCGCAGTATATCTGGTATGCTTGCGCGGTCTATGTCGGGCTTGGCGAACAAGGTGAAGGCTTCGGCATCTTCGATTGATTGGGTTCCACCTGCGAGAGTGTGAGACTGAGATGGGTTATGGTGCGGATGATAATGGTCAGATTAGACCGACCTTGTCCTTGATGTGGTGTCATCGCATGCGCGGCATCGCCAATCAGTACCGTTCGACCCTTGACATAAGTAGGCAACGGATCTTGATCACGTAACTGCCATAGCTTCACATTCTCAGCTTTTCTAGCCATCCTAATCAGCATAGCCATCCAGCAAAAGTCAGAGTCAAAGAGACCTACTCTAGCAAAGCGGTCATGAAAGGACCGAAATCACTAAAACACCGCAGCAGATCTGCGCGATCTCCCTCAGCTGTCCAAGATTCGGTAGTCTGTTTTCCGAGCATGCTATCCGGAGCAATACAGACGAAGTTGATAAGCTCGTGGTCTCGGCACGGGTAGAGCACTATCGAGCGCTCACTCTGATCGAAGGCGATGTAGACGTCTAGAGTCACTGGTCGAGCCTGATCGAGGGCATCCCAATCACTGTGGATCGTGCGTATAAGTGATGTGGGAAGCATGAAACGAAACGCTGAGGTCCCTGACTGAAAGATATCAGCTCGTGGGATAGTGTGAGAGTAGGATTCAAAAATACTGGACGAGCAGATCGGAAAGCCTCTTCTCCTACGACTAGAGGTCGTACAATCGATCTAATACCATCAGCTCCTGATCAGCCAAGAACGCGGTCAGCATGGTGTCATATCGGGACGTCAGAATCATATGCAACAACATACCAACCACAAGATCAGACCTTAGAATCTCACCGCCAGCCAACATGACATCCCCATTTTCAACATCTACCCGGACGACCTCAACTCCATACCTCACCTCCACCGGTTGGCCCACTTGTCCAGCATCTCCACCTGTCTCAAGTGCCGGACTCGTCGCAAGCCTGAGAAGTTCGTCCCACAGATCAGCTCGATGCATCATCAGCCAGTCTGCCGGATTATGCACAGAGAACTCCGTCATATCCTGGTGATGGATCTGTTCCCCGCCTGGACCGAAGGTCCTGGATCCGACAGCTTTTAAAGCTCGACAGCGTTGGCGATCGAAACCGTAGGGCTCGATGAGACGGATTGCTGTAGGGCCCAGACTCAAGGCGGCACCTACTTCATGGCCTCCAGGAGATTGTTCGAGGACTGTGATTTTGTGGTTTGAGTTGTTGCTGCGGAGGAAGCGGGCTGCTGCTAGGCCTGCTAGGCCGGCGCCTATGATTGTTATATTCAGAGGCGAAGACATGTTGGCTGGACAATATGTGAGTGGCAGCCCGCAGTGTAGTGGTGGTGCTTTTGACAGATGCTGAAGTTGGAGCAAGCGCAGCGGGATCTCAGGGCTGGGGACATGGCTGTAGTCAGCTACTCGTGGCATTGTAGTGCGGCATTTACTGGAGGTACACTGGTTGGGAGCTCTCATCTACTAGACCTTACCCGGCAATTAGTTTCGGAACTGTGGGCGCCTTCGGATAGATGTGGACGATGTCGAAAGCACATTGAAGTCAGCGACTTGGAACTTTTATGTATCTGATGCTACATACCCGGACCGTTTATGTAGCTCCACAAAGGCTTCATTGATGCCTTCTTTCTACTGAGCACTCGAGGTCACGAATGTCCACCGCTTCATGGTCATGCTCTGTTCTTCTCAGCGCTTCCGTTCGACAGGCTTATCCGGCGCATCACGCAGCTCGCCGAAGTATGTCTTCTCCTCTCGCTCCAGCTGCTGAGTGAACGTGTCATGCATCCTATGGTTCTGCGGCTCAGCGTCGATTGTAGACTCGTTGAGAACGTATTGAGAAGGCATGGCGCCGCTGTGATTCCGTTCAGTGCGCGGCACATTTTGTGCGACGCCGGTCGTGGGATCAAATGCTGGAATGTCGAAGGCCAGCTCTGGTGGGGAGCCAGTATAGGCGGACGTCGTGCTTTGTACCGGTACTCCACCGTACAATGGTGGTGGTTGTTGCCTCGTGCTTGAGATCTGAGCAGGCAAAGCATGCATCTGTGCGTAGTCTATTGGTGCCAGCAGTCCCGGTGGCAAAGGTGTCTCAATGCTGGGATCATCCCACTGACCACTGATACCGCTCAAACAGTAGCCGAATTGTGCGCCTCCCGTCGTGCCAGAGAGGCCGATGTTTGAATGCTGAGCTGAGCCGCTGGGGACGTCCCTCGGTTGTGCGGATATATTGGGAGTGTTGAAGATGTTTGACATCGTTGCCATGTGACGAGCATTGTTCGGTGAGAGTGGCTGTGCCAAGTACCGTGCTGGAAATGGCATCGAAGGCGTTGCTCGCATTGGTAGACTCCCAGGCAGCTGAAGCATAGCGGGGAGAGGTGATAATCCAGGAAATGCCATTGGCTGCATCTGCGGCATGGGCGCCGTTCCTGGAAGATAGGGCAAAAGAGGATATCCAGGCATTGGGGCCATCGATGGCAGCTGTATGGACCGGATGAGTTTGATCACGAAGCTGGAGTCAGAGTGAGATCTCCCATGCGTCGGTGTTCTGGGCGCAGTCGTTGTTGTCAGCTGTTCAAGGTAGGCGTCTGCTTCTCCTGCCAGGACTTTGTCTTCTATGGCCTCTGCAGCTGTGGGATTCATCGTTTGGGCCTGTGATGAGGCTCGCCATTGCTTGACGGCCTCTTCGCGTTGGTCTTGGGTGACACTCATGGTAAACCTTGAGTTTGTGGTCGAAGGAGAAGTTTCTGGGGGCAGTGTTGTATTGTAAGAAGGTTCAGCGGCTAGAATTACTTGAGTGATGAGGAGAACGGCGAGGAAGTCGCTTGAAATAAGGTATACTCGTGATCTTGACTACGGTCACTACAGTTAGGCCGTGACAGCCTGCCTTTAATGGGGTGGAGGAGACAAGACTGTGGTAAAGAGGAGCATGTCTTGGCATGGGCAGGTGAGGTGACTCAGTGTTGTCCATGCCCGCAAACAGTGATAAGTACTGAGACGTGGGGTACGTGTTACTTGGTCTCGTGCGTGACCATGAAGGGAGAAAGGATGATGAAGAAGAAGGAGATGAGATGGCATGGTGTCGAAGATGGTTAGCACTCCCGTAGCGGTCCTTTCGGACGAAGCCGGGGCCGCGACCGCCGGACGATGACGGCAAACCTTCAGCGAGAGCTCGAAGGACGGCAAGAAGATACTTTGATACACTCGTTCCCTTCCTCATCCTGTGACCCTCCATATATATCAACACCACCGAGACGTACGAGCAACTGACAAGGACCTGACGACGCGTTCGATGAGCGGTCGCAAGCATGCTGCGAACCCACCTTTGCCAATGCAGTAGACGCCTCGCCTCCACCACCTCCTCCTCTTCACCTTCATCATCCACCCGCGCCTTCTCCTCCCTCACACAACATGCGCCGCGGAGACATACGGTGAAGGTCGGCCGCTCATCCTCCACTGCCTTCACATCGCAACAACACCGAAGCTATGCCGTCGCCGCCGAGGACACAGACAAGGGTGTGGACCCATCAGATTCCTTCCTCTCCGGCAACACGGCCAACTATGTCGACGAGATGTACATGTCGTGGAAGCAGGACCCCTCGTCCGTGCACGTGTCATGGCAGGCCTACTTCCGCAACATGGAGAGCGGCGACATGCCCACCAGCCGCGCCTTCACTCCACCTCCCACCATCGTCCCGCAGGTCGGCGGCGTCGTGCCTTCCACTATCCCTTCGGCTGGACCCGGCGCGGCAACGGGTCAAGGTAGTGATGTGATGACGCATCTGAAGGTGCAGCTGCTCGTGCGGGCGTATCAGGCACGAGGCCACCACAAGGCGAATATTGATCCGCTGGGTATTAAGAATGAGAGTGCAAACTTTCGCTTCAGCAATCCGAAAGAGCTCGATCCCAAGAACTACCAGTTCACCGAGGCGGATTACGATAAGGAGTTTGAGCTGGGGCCGGGTATCTTGCCAAGATTCAAGACGGACGGGAGGGAGAAGATGACGTTGAGAGAGATTATTGAGGCTTGTGAGATGATCTACTGTGGACCGATTGGAATTGAGTACATCCATATCCCCGACCGCGAGCAGTGCGACTGGTTACGACAGCGTGTAGAAGTTCCGGCGCCTTACAGATACTCTGTCGACGAAAAGCGACGCATCCTGGATCGTCTTATCTGGTCTTCTTCTTTCGAATCCTTCCTAGCTACCAAGTACCCCAACGACAAGCGCTTTGGTCTGGAAGGTGGCGAGTCTTTGATTCCAGGCATGAAGGCTATGATTGATCGCTCGGTCGACTACGGCGTCAAGGACATTGTCATCGGTATGCCACACCGAGGTCGTCTGAACGTGCTCTCCAACGTCGTCAGGAAGCCCAACGAGTCCATCTTCTCTGAGTTCGGTGGGTCGGCTGAGCCTACTGACGAGGGTTCTGGTGATGTCAAGTACCATCTCGGCATGAACTTCGAGCGGCCTACGCCTTCTGGCAAACGTGTGCAACTGTCTCTGGTCGCCAACCCTTCGCATTTGGAAGCTGAAGATCCTGTCGTACTTGGCAAGACTCGTGCTATCCTCCACTACAACAACGACGAGGAACACGCTGACACCGCACTGAGTGTCCTACTTCACGGCGATGCTGCTTTTGCTGGCCAAGGTGTTGTGTACGAGACCATGGGCATGGCTGCTCTACCTGCTTACCAGACTGGTGGTACTATCCATTTGATCGTCAACAACCAGATCGGCTTCACTACCGACCCTCGCTTCTCCCGCTCAACACCCTACTGCTCCGATCTTGCCAAGTTTGTCGACGCACCCGTCTTTCACGTCAACGGTGATGATGTCGAGGCTGTCAACTTCGCCTGCCAACTCGCTGCCGACTGGCGTGCACAGTTCAAGAAGGATGTAGTAATCGACATGGTCTGCTACCGCAAGTCGGGACACAACGAGACGGATCAGCCTTCCTTCACTCAACCCCTGATGTACAAGAAGATCAACGCCCAGCCACCTACTATCGATGTCTACACCAAGGCACTCCTCGACGCCAAGACCTTCACGAAAGAGGATATTGACGAGCACAAGAAGTGGGTGTGGGGTATGCTCGAAGAATCGTTCGCACGATCAAAGGACTACCAACCCACCGCCAAGGAATGGCTGACTAGTGCCTGGAACGGTTTCAAGTCGCCCAAGGAACTAGCTACGGAAGTCCTGCCTCATCTACCCACTGCTGTCCCACAAGAAGAGCTCAAGCGTATGGGCGACATCATCGGCACTCCTCCGGAAGGGTTCAATGTCCACCGCAACCTAAAGCGAATCCTGGCGAACCGCAGCAAGACTGTCAACGAGGGCAAGGGCATCGACATGTCGACCGGTGAGGCCTTAGCCTTTGGTACGCTATGTGAGGAGGGTCATCACGTGCGTGTTTCTGGTCAAGATGTCGAGCGTGGTACTTTCTCCCAACGCCATGCGGTGCTGCACGACCAGGAGAATGAGGAGACATATACCCCACTCAAGCATGTGGCGAAGAGCGGAGAGCAGGGTTCTTTCGTCATTTCGAATTCCAGTTTGAGCGAGTATGGTGTGCTTGGATTCGAGTACGGCTACTCCCTTTCCTCCCCGTCGGCCCTGGTCATCTGGGAAGCGCAGTTCGGTGATTTTGCAAACAACGCTCAATGTGTCATCGATCAGTTCATCGCATCTGGCGAAGTGAAGTGGCTGCAGCGATCTGGTCTTGTGGTCAACCTTCCTCACGGCTATGATGGGCAGGGTCCCGAGCACAGCTCTGGCAGGATGGAGCGATTCTTACAGTTGTGCAACGAGGACCCACGTATCTTCCCTGCACCGGAGAAGCTGGAGCGCCAGCACCAGGACTGTAACATGCAAATCACCGTCTGCACTACTCCATCAAATGCGTTCCATATCTTACGACGACAGATGAATCGACAGTTCCGCAAACCTTTGGTCCAGTTTTTCAGCAAGTCTCTCCTCCGCCACCCTCTCGCGCGCTCCAACATCGAGGACTTCACAGGCGAAAGCCATTTCCAATGGATCATTCCCGACCCCGCGCATGAGAAGGACGGTCTGGCTGGCTACGATCTTCAGATCCAGCCGAAGGAGGAGATCAAACGTGTCATTCTCTGCTCTGGTCAAGTCTTCACGGCGTTGTTCAAGTACAGGAAAGACAACAATCTCACCGACACAGCCATCACCCGTATCGAACAACTCAACCCGTTCCCTTGGGCCCAGTTAAAGGAGAATCTAGATGGGTACCCCAACGCTGAGACGATCGTCTGGTGTCAAGAGGAGCCATTGAACGCCGGCGCTTGGTCCTTCACACAGCCTCGTATCGAGACACTGCTCAATAAAACCGAGCATCATGATCGCAAGCACGTGATGTATGCGGGACGTAACCCCAGTGCGTCGGTGGCTACGGGATTGAAGGGCACGCATTTGAAGGAGGAGGGAGAGCTGTTGAGCCATGCCTTTAGCGTTAAGCAGGAGAAGCTGAAGGGGGAGTAGGGTTCTTCCTCTGATGGTGCAAGGATGAGGTGGATAGGGAGGTGGTTAGGAGTGGGTGTGGCGGTGTGGTTTCCGGTGATGTATCTTTTAGTCGAGGGTGGGTTGTAAGTAGGGATGTTGTTTGTGGGTAGTGCATGGTGTTCTGTAACATGTCTCTGTTCTGATGTTCCTATGGTCCTTGGGTTCGGCATGCTCACTTTCACATTCTTAACACAGGCGGAAGCAAGGGTAGATATGGATCTAGTGGCGGATGTTGTCTTCTCTCATGAATTCGGATCAACAGAGGCCAACCTTGCGAACAAACTTAGCTCTGTTCGAACAACGAGAGACCAAGCCATCGTCAGCACTATATACTGAAAGGATACCGGCTCTTGATATCGTATGATGAGATGCCTGCTTTCTACATTCACCGAGCCGGAATTTGTTCTATTCCTTGTGACTGGCCGCGCTCGTCTTTTGCTTTGTTCCACTGCGTGATATGGTACTGAGTCTTAGCAAGCTCCGTTGAAAACCGCGCGCAGTGATTGTGGTGTTGGAAGATGTCTTTTCCGGAGGCGTTCAAGACCTTCCAGCTCCGTGATATGACCATGGCTATCGTTGGCATTATGACCCACTTTATACGGGTAATTAACTTGAATCGTGGTGGTGATGCCCAGTCAAGACTTGATCGGGCCTTGGAGACCTCCTATGGTTATGAAGGTCGTCGCAAGCGCTTTTGACGTTCGACGGTGGGGACGTCGTGCTTCTTCACAATCATAACCTCATCGATGTCAGGCCTCGTATCGTGTGCCGCGCTTGCACCCCTCTTTCCTCTGCAGTCGAGCGCTGCAATGCAATGACTAGTAAAGCACCAATATCCGAGTTGGATCGAGCCCTGGAACCTCTAGCGACGATAGCCTGGTCTCTGGTCTGTGTGCACCGCGCCAGAACTGGGTATGTAGGTCCACCAAGCATCGATATTGCAGCGTGGCTGTGATTCCGCACTGTCTCAACCACGACCAGTCGCATAACGTTCCCATGTGTCAACAACCTACCGTCAATGAGTCGTGAGACTAGTCTGAAGTCTTCAACGAACCACGCGGTACAACACTACGGGCATGATGCATGTTCAGCAGAGTGCCAGCCACATTCTCGCATGAGGCAACATGCAGCCATGTACCGGACAGCAAGACTAGGAGATTTGAACGAGTTCCATCGTTGACCTGTATCGTTTGGGTGTGCACAGATCTGCACCGCATCAACAACGATTGCACCGCTACTGCCGAGTGTCTGACGTTAGCACGAATAGCCTGTAGGCGCGCGTTGTCTTGATGGAGAAAGATGAGCGAATGCTACAGTGGCCAGAGCCTCGTCGGCTTCCACAGCGTAACCCGGAAGAACCTTCCCCCAGGCTCAGGGCGAGGTGGAGGGCCAGGATTAGCAGGAAGGTGATTGCATCGGTGTGACTTCAAAGTCAACTGCGGTGAAATATGTCGGAAATCTCCTCGGTGACATGTCGAACGCCATCGACAGGCCTTAGTCCGTGGGGTATGTTGCAGATAAAGCTCAAGGCTAGTCCTCCAAATAGGCTTTGCGCACCCCACAGAAGCGTTCGAGATTGTCAAGATCAATATTATTCACGCGTCAACCACGTGTGTCATAATGTCTACGGAAAGCCCAGCATCGACGCTGAACCAATTCCTCCAACGTAAGATGCACCAGACCTCTCCAGTACCCCTCACGCTGAATGAGAAGCGCAAGGAGTCGTATGCATCGCATCTTAAGCTTCGTTGTTCTCGTGATATCGTTCGCGTCGAAGATGCAAGCTTTGAATAGTTGCATGGCACTGTGCAAGCTAGAGAAGCAAGCAATATTGGGCTTGGACATCTACGAGAACAATCTTGACCTTTGCGTCTGGAATCGCCCCGTTCTGTTCCGGCCAGCTGCGACGCCAAGACACGCTATCCCGCGCAAACGCCAGGAATGATTCTCATTGTACGAGCTTGTCGAGTACTATTCTATTAGTAAGTGCAAAGACAGGGTCTTGCCAAGCCCTACGCTAATTAGTTACCTATACGAGCTTTTGATTAGCTCTTAGAAATGTACCTTACGTAACCCCTTTTAATTAGTGCAAAGATAGGGTCTTGCTAAGCCCTACGCTAATTAGTTACCTATACGAGCTTTTAAGTAGCTCTCTAACTAGCTCTTAGAAATATTTATTACGTAATATTCTATTACTTAGTAGATAGTAAATAAAAAGATAGAGTCTTACTAAGCTATACGCTAATTACTTACCTATATAAGGATTTTATTAGCTTAGAGAAATATTTATTATATAGCCCTATACTATTCTATTAGTAAATAAAAAGAAAGGGTCTTACTAAGCTATATACTAATTAGTTACCTATATCTTAACTCTCTATTATTTAGAATATACTATATTCCATATTCCTTCTTAATTAGTAATCCTTCTATTAATATATAATTATATATATATATGCTATATTTTAAGAACGTATATAACGTATTTCTTCTTAATTATTAGCCTATAATTACGTTACCTATATATTTACGTTACTTAATATAGTTACGTTACTTAATATAGTTACGTTACTTAATATAGTTACGTTACTTGATATAGTTACGTTAATTATTATAGCGGAAATTAAAGCTCGGACACTATAATTGAGCCACGCTCTCTTAGGAATACCTTGTTAATCAGCTGAGTTGCTTGACAGACTCGAGACGGGACACTGTACATGCTTCACATTCGCCGCCGTTTGCCGGATTGAACAACGGGCTATGCTAACTGGAGCGATGATGTCTGGATTGGCCATGTATGGCGCCGTTAGAAGCAAGCGTGCTCGGGAAAAGTCGGCAGGCACTTCGTAACTCTATAGCATGGTCTGCCCGATAGTAAAAGCATGTTCTGTGCGCGGAGTCCAATCGTCTCATGCTTGAGAGGCACATATATTCAGTCTCGGACGTTGAAAGCCAGAGGATTATAGATAAAGCTCTCGTATCATCGACTATCCAGTCCAGTCTCGAATACTTGTTCCTTTAGGGCACCACGGTCATCATCATGGCCGACCACGCGGACTCAAGCGCCAACTACTTGTCGAAGCATCCAAGCCATGCGGCAGTACATTCTGGTGAGCCCTACGAGAAGATGTCGGCCGGTCGATACGTTGGAACGAGGCTGTCTTCCCTAAAGCCTCCCATGGTTCCTCTGGAGAATCCTTTCAGCCTTCTTCGTCAGCTCAACCGACAGCAATGGGCATTTTTTGGGATTGCGTTTTGCGGTAAGCTGCTCGATCTCTCCACGTCTCAGTCGCAAGATATCAGCTGATGCGAGTGATGCAATAGGATGGGCGTGGGACAGCTTCGACTTCGTATGTACAACCCCAGACCCATACCTCATGGAGTCCTCGTGAACACCACTAATTCATGCTTGGACAGTTCACCGTATCCTTGGCTCTTAGTAAAATGGCCGCCACTTTCGGTGTCACAACAAAGCAAATGACTTGGGGCATTACCCTGACTCTTATGCTGCGATCTGTCGGCGCCATTATCTTCGGTATCCTTGCAGATCGTTATGGCAGGAAGTGGCCTTTCATCGGTAACATGTCAGTTGATGCCATCTGGATTTGACTATGTAAACTATCTACTGACATCAACCCAAGGATACTGTTTATTGTCCTGGAGCTAGCGACCGGATTCGTCTCTGACTACAATTCCTTCCTGGCTGTCCGAGCACTATATGGTATTGCGATGGGAGCCCTCTACGGTAATGTTGCATCAACAGCCTTGGAAGACTGCCCTGTCCAGGCACGAGGTATCATATCAGGTCTTATGCAACAAGGATATGCCTTTGGATACCTATTAGCTGTCGTCTTCGCGCGAGCCTTGGTAGACACGACCAGTCATGGCTGGAGGCCGCTATTCTGGTTCGGCGCCTGTCCTCCAGTACTACTCATAATCTGGCGGCTGTACCTCCCAGAGACGAACACTTTCATCGAGCGCCAGCAAGTGCGCCAGCTAAGTGAGAGTGCCGACAAAGTCTTCTTGCGGGAAGGTAAAGTAGCGCTCCAGAGGCATTGGAAGGTGCTGCTGTACATGGTGCTACTGATGGCGGGCTTCAACTTCATGTACGTTCACATTCAAGTCGCTGTTGGAGTCTGACGTCTGCTGACCTTGCTACATAGGTCACACGGGTCGCAAGATCTATATCCAACACTCCTCACAAATCAGTACGGGTTTTCGGCGAATGGCGTCACCATCACCCAAGTCGTCGCCAATCTCGGCGCGATACTCGGCGGCACAGTCATTGGATATCTCTCTCAATCTCTCGGGCGTCGTCTCTCCATTATTATCGTCTGTATTATTGGCGGCGCTCTGCTCTATCCCTACACCTTTACTGGAGACGACAAGGTCATTGCAGCGGCATTCTTCGAGCAGTTTTGTGTTCAAGGAGCATGGGGAGTGATTCCTATCTACCTCATGGAGATGTCGCCTGGTAGCTTCCGTACCCTCGTCGTAGGTGCGAGTTATCAACTTGGAAACCTGGCCTCATCCGCAAGCTCGACTATTGAGGCAACCATCGGTGAACGATTCCCATTGCCGTCGAAATTGGTTGCTGGCAAAGTGGTCCACAGATACGACTATGGGAAAGTCATCTGTAAGTTATCAAGTGAACCAGTCAGAACACCGGAGCAAAGCTGACACATCACAGGCATCTTTCTTGGATGTGTCTATGCATACGTCATAATTTTGATCCTAGCTGGGCCAGAGTATCGGGAGCGGTCTTTGGGTGTTGCGCATGATACCGACTTGGAAATTGCTGCTGGACATGACGCTGTTGCTGCTGTGACAGGGGAGGATGATTGGCCAACGGAGAAGGCTGGTGCTACTCGAGTCGAGAAGGTGTAAGTGGTTTGCTGCCATGAGCCACAATCAATTGCATTGGCCTGGACGATTGAGCTAGGATTGTAAGTATTGAGTGTCTACGGTAAACTTTGGGAGACGGTGCTGAGGAATATGCCGGCTTTTCTAAGCTGTAGTGAGAATTTTCTTGTCCTCGCATGGATGGAAGATCGTGTTCGATATCCGTAGGGGCGATGCATCATGTTGAGCATGATTACACTGTCAATGTCGAAGGACACCTCCCGCGAACAATCTTGCCTCCCTTGTCTGCGCACCGTGCGGATGCTGGTCGTATATAGCTTCACACCGCTTGGAGCTTCTCAGTGCTTGGGGCTCGTACACTGACGTACAATGACAAAATCGAGTGGTTGGAGCAATGAGACTGAGCTTGATGTTGCAGCTGGTGGATGCGAAGTAGGACCTTGCCTACACAGTCTCCCAAGCTTCATGCTTGCTTCCTTCGATTAGTGCAAAGAAAGGCTGGTGATGGTCCTGCGTGGTCCCTGCGATTCACTGTCATAGGTAAAGTGCTGTGGTTGTTGCTTTCCAGCATACCAGGCGATCTCATTGGCGCCCGTAATCCCGCATTAGCTGCAGTCCAATCAATGATTATTGAAGATTTCCGCCATGTCCGTTCAAGGCAACAGCAGCCCTTAAGAAGATATTTCTAGACAGGTGATCATATGTCAACAACCCCAAGGCCAAGTCCGACCTCGTTGGTGACCATAGCAAAGGTATCAAAACAGCCAGGTCAGCCTAATTACCCAGGTCACGGGACATCTCCTCTGGATGGGTACGTTGGAGGTAAGACACGATGTCTAAATCAGGAGGCTGGTATAGGGAAAGGAACGATCTCGTCCAATATCTGTCATTGCTATCACGAAGTACACTATTACTCGTGCCAAGATATGTATGCAGCTATCTACTGGACAAAGGCTGTCTTCCACATACCAAAGCTTAGAATGGACTGAGTCGACTCTTCAAGCCAAGGAAGATGATCCACAGATTACTGAGTACGTCGACCCGAACTGGGCCGGTCGCACTGATACCGATGGTCGTTCCCTCGAACTCCTTGCGACGCTGTCCTAGTTCAACCAAAGCTGCGCCCAAGTCTGCGTAGTTGATCGTTGCCGATGTTTTTCCGCGCACTACGAACTTGTACCCAGTGGTCTCCGTCCGTTCGGGATCCATCAGACCAGGTGGATCCGCGGTGATGTGCGTGAGCAGTCCATCCTTCTCCGCCTTCTCGTAAATAGTACCCGCCTTTAGAAGATCCTCGTAGATGAGCCAGAGTGCAAAGACCGTGAACTTCTTCACGAAGCCCGGGATTGGTAGCTGAGCATCCGAGTTGAGAGATAAGGATCGATTGAATAGAACAACGGGTAGCTTGTACTCAGGCCGATCCACTTCGCGGAGGTGACCGAGAGCTGCGACAAGAGATGCTGCCGTCGTGACAGCGACCTCGACCTTGCGACTGGCATGGTTGGTAGCGACGCAGATGTATATGGTTTCGGCGTGCCGAAGACATGCTTTGACGACATCCTCGTTCGAGATGGATCCTTCGAAGATGCTGATGCTGGCTGACGAGGTAGACTCGAGTTGTGGGAAAGCTTGGAGAAGCTTGCTCTTCGAGCGCACGAGGATATTGATACGAAGATCGGGAATCTGCGACGAGAGAAGGTATCTTAGGATCGCCGAGCCCGTGCCACCTGTTGCACCGAGGACAACGTGGGTGGGCATGATATATGAGCTCCGTGCAGTCCAGACTTTGGTTGAAAGTATCATTGATCGGCCATATTGGATGGTGAGTGCTGTGTATATAACTTAAACATCAATCTCGCCTGTCCGTCACATAGTTGCAGCTCTGTCTTTGTTAGGATTGGTGTTGCTTTTTCCGCTTGGTAATCTCTACGGACGAATCCTAACAAATAAGAGCTCTAGCCCAATTGAGATAACATGATTCCAACCTCTCGAAGTCTTTGAGGGGCGAGGAAACTCTTGTAGCGTTGTCGCATGTCGTGCAGCTTGCTTATGCTTATAAAGTGCTACTATCGGAAAGGGAAGGAGGTATAGTATAACGAATATATAATATATAATATAGGAATAAGAGAACGAGGACTAGTTATTTTAGCCTTAAGAAGGAAGTATATAGGAGTACGCGCTTTAAGAACACGTAACTAACTAGAGTCGCTAGACTTTAGTTAGATACGTAACTAACTAACGTACTAACTAACCGGTCGGCTAGTTAGATAGAGAGTTAAGTATACGAGTCTCCTATATATATAGAAGGGCGCTTTCTTATATAGGTAGTTCGTATTTAACCTAAGTTACTAACCTACTAAAAGGTTAAACCTTAGAGTAGTTACTTACCCGACCTATCGCTTAGAACTTACTCGTCTAACGAGCTCTAACCTCTTATACTATAGGAGTATAATATTTTAAATACCCTTATAGTAGGTAAGTACCCTACAAAACTACCTCTTAGTAAAACGAGGTTATACTAGCTAGAGACTAAATTTCGAAATCCCCGCCTAATATTACGGATATCGGGTCCGCAATAAGTAGACTAACTAATTAAGCTTAGAGAGCTAATAAGCCGGCCTATAGGAGCGGCTATAAGAAGGTTTATATAACTCTACTTACTGTTATGCACCTGCGGTACAAGGGGGTTAGAGCTCGTTAGACGAGTGAGTTCTAAGCGATAGGTCGGGTAAGTAACTACTCTAAGGTTTGACCTTTCGGCGGGTTGGTAACTTAGGTTAAACACGAACTACCTATATAAGAAATGTCTATTCTATATATATATAGGAGATTCGTATATAGTTACGATCACCTAGCGGTAATCGTAAGCATTCTTCCTTACGGTTACTCGAGAGTAAGAGTAAGTAGGCTACTTACTTAAGGGTCCAAGTGAGCGGTGTTACGTAACCCTCTTGTAGCCGCCCTAGCAGACCTGGCTTATTAGCTCCCTAAACTCAATTGGTTAGTCTGCTTGTTGCGGACCTAATGTCCGTAACATCATCCCGCTCTATAGCTGTTATGTCCTTATAACTAAGCATTAGTCGTTGTTCCGGCGTAGGCGTCCAATATAGGCCTAGCGCATGTTAGAGCCTCCTAGTACTTAGTGTCGCGGGGTCCCGCTTATAGATGCGTTTCGTCATTCGATGGCTTCCTCCAGCAAACAATCTCGACTCGTTCGTTTCGCAAGAATAACCCGGAATCCCTTCGTATCGGAAACACGCTATAATCGCTGTGCTGAACACGATCGTTCCGAGTGCGTCTTTATCGCCGACTTTTCCTTAATGTCGTGTGCAAACTGTACACGGCTTGGTCGTCCTTGTGTGACGTCCTCGGTAGATAGGCTAGACAAGGTCGTAGACGACCTTGCTTCGAAGATAGCGACCGATAAGGCGAAGGTCGCTAAGAAGATGGAGGAGATGTTGCAGCTGATAGAGAAGCTTTAAGAGGTGCGGAATCGTATAGCCCGGAATAAGGTAGTCCAGAAGCAGAACAACCGTCGCCTTAACGAGCAGTTAAGGCATATAGTTAAGAACATGCCTTCTTCCGATAAGAACCTTGGTTTCTCGTAGGCGGTTACTCTTAGTCGATCCCTCGAGGGCGTCGGCCTAGCCGATCCTTTCGAGTAGGACTTCGAGCCCGAGTTTGTTAGTAAAATTGTCGCAGGAGGTCCTAGTAATTCTTAAGGTAAGTTCTTAGTTCCTACGTGTTGTCTTCGTTAGGGTATCCTTTCTATTTAACCAAGTATTTATAACCTCTTTTCTCTAGGATTTCTTCTACTTCCTACTCTTAGTTTTCTTAGGATTCGTAGTAGAATGTCGTTTAGAGCGCGGTGTCTGGGTGCGCTAGTTCGAGGAGGGAAACGTAGAATATAGGGTGCACCTTAGCATCCCTAGGTAGTTTAAGTCGGTAGTTGAGTTCGCCTCTTTTCTTAGCGATTAGAAACGGTCCGACCTTCACATAATCTAGTTTCTTTGTTCCTCTCTTAGTTTTTAGGTTCTTCGTTAGGAGATACACCTTATCCCCCGTCTTTAGCTAAGGCGCCGTTTTTGAGGCTTTAAATCTTGTCCTTATAAGAGCTCGCTGAGATTTGGTGATATTTTGTCGTAATTTGCCGTGGACATCTTTTAGTTTAGAGGCTTTAACTAAAGCTTCCTTAGATGCTAGTCCCTCGCGCGGTTCTATAAACAGGTTCGGGTCTTTGCCGTAATTAGCGTAGAATAGTAACTCGCTAGTAGTCTCGGAGGTATTGTTGTTAAGTGCAACCTAGGCTATCGGTAGCTTTTCTACCTAGTTATTTTAGGCTAGGTTTATGTAATGCCTAAGGTATAGCTCGAGATTTTGGTTTATTCTCTCGGTTTGACTATCTATTTCCGGATAGAATGCTGTAGATAGCTTATGTTTGAGTCCAATTGCTACGACAAGTGTTTTCTAGTAGTTCGATGTAAACTTAGTATCTCTGTCGGTAATAAAAACCTTTAGTATCCCGTAGTAGCGTACAAGGCGATCGAGCACAAGGCAGCCTAACTGCGGGGCCGTAATCGTCTTGCTGTAGGGTATAAAGTGTATGTACTTAGTTAGCCTGTCGACTATAACTAGGATACCGTCGTAGTGTACTCCTGTTACTAGGTTAGGTGACTTAGGAAGATCGGTTATAAAGTCTATTATAACTTCTTCCTATAGTTTTTCGGGTGGTCCCCGGAATTGTAAGTTGCCGTACTTCGCGTATCGCGAAGACTTGTTCTTGTTGCAACTAACACACTTCTTAATGTATTCTAAGACCTTCTATCTTATGTTTAGGAAGGCGAAGTTCCGTCGAATATGTTCTATAGTTCGAGCAACACCTAGGTAACTACAGTCTTCCCCGTCGTGGTAATCTCGAATGCAGTCGTTTTCCTTAAGTAGCGGTACTTTGTATTTGCTATGTTCGACTAGGAATTCTTCGTCGTCGTCCCGCAGAACCCGAAGAGTCAAGTTGAACTCTTAAGTCTTTACACTAAGGCTTCCGTCCTTGTTAACCTTTAGCACCTGCTTTGGTTTGGGCTCGTTGCCCTCCGTGTAGTCGCTTCGTCTGCTTAGCGCATCGGCGCGCCTATTGTCTTTTCCTAGAGTATAAATAATGTTAAACTTGTATTATCTAAGTAGCTCTAACTATCGACACTATCGTCTCGAAAGATCTTTGGTAGTTGTAAAGAATTGCAGATTCTTATAATCCGAGTAGATAGTTAGTCCTATAGCTCCTTTATAGTATATTCTCTAGTGTCGCAATGCTACGACGATCGTAAGCAGTTCCTTGTCGTAAATCTCGTAGTTTTGTTCCGCTAGCGTTATCTTCCTTAAGAAGTACGCGATTAGGTGTCGATTTCTATTGTGCTCCTATATAAGGCAAGCACTAATAGCAAAGTCGGAGGCATCGGTTTCGATAATAACATCTCGTTCTAGGTCGAACATAGCGAGCGTTAGTACGGATGCACTAAGTTCTTTTAGCTCCTAAAAGGCTTGCTCCTATATCGTCGTCCAATCCTATTAGATATCCTTTTTCGTTAGGTTAGTTAAGGGTGTAGCTATCCTTAAGTAATCCTTAATGAATTTTCGGTTGTAGTTAGCTAGTCCAAGGAATGCTTAAATGTCTCGGACTGTCGTTGGGGTAGGCTATTCTATAATCGACTTGATCTTTTCTAGATCCATACGAATACCGTTAACTCTAACGATGAAGCCTAAGAAGTCAACCTCTTTATAGAAGAACTTGCACTTCTCGGGTGTAGTCTTGAAGCCTGAATTGCTAAGGCGTTCGAGTACCTCGCCGACGTGTCTAGCGTGTAATTCTCGAGAACTATTTGTAAAGATAAGCACATCGTCTATATAGGCGATTGCCGTAATGTCGAGGACGTCGCGTAGAGCGTCGTTAACAACTTCTTAGCATATTGCTAGCGTATTTGTTAATCCTATTAGTATAACTCGGAATTAGTACAGTCCGAAGCGCGTTCTAAAGGCTGTCTTCTATTCTTCTCCGGGTGCTATGCGTACTACGTAGAAGGCGTCCCGTAGGTCGATCTTCGAATACTATATAGAACCCGTAAGTCGGTTCTTTATTTCTTCGATGTTTGGTAGCGGATATCGGTTCTTAATCGTTATTAAGTTTAGTCGTCTGTAGTCGATAACTATGCGTAGTTTTCCTCCTTTCTTTAGAATAAACATTAAGGGTGAAGCGGCAGGCGATTGGGATTTCTTAATCTATCCCCTAGATAGGTTCTTGTCTATCTAGCTTCGCTGCTCTTCTAGCTCTCGTTGTAATAATACGTAAAGTGGTCCCTATAGTGGTTCCTTACTAGGCTGGATTAGTATTTTGTAATCCTATAGTCTGTATATAGGTAAGGCCGCGAGCCCTGTCTCTTCCTAAAAGAGGCGTTTCCATCGTATAAACTCTTTAGGGATTCCTAGAGGTGCGTCCTTGTCCTCCTTCGCTCTAACTTATTAATCCGGTAGATCTATTCCGGCATCTATCGAGCTTAGGCTACTACGTAGCTCCTGTTCCGGTTGTTGACTAGCTATATATATATACTATCTTTCCTTATCTACCGCTGGACTCTGCCGGCGTGTAGGCTCGATGTCGATAACGTATACGCATCGCTCAAATGTAAGTACTCTTGTTTTCTACTCTATATATAGGTTGTAACGTTCCAACTAAGGCGTGCCTAATACGATATCGTATCTGGCTATAG